TGAGCTGAGCTGCCATACTGCCGTGCTGCCATGGCGACTGGACTTGGGAGCTGAGCTAGCTGAGCCCTCCACAATTAAGATTGAAGGACAACGACTTGGCTGTTCCCCTTCCCCAATTCCCCAAACACTGTTCCCATTCCCCAGTTCCCCAATGGAATCTTAAAAAAAAAAAAGGTTAATCCAGGGCTGCTCTGGGGTCTTTGCATAAGTAGCCATGAAACAGGGTGAGCAAATAAATGGGTGAAGGTCACCCTCAATCAGATAAATTATCTTTGCATATGATAGACATATTTAAATCTCCTTATAACATTTCATTTAAACAATGGTTTCCTTGGCTTCAAAGAGTTTAAATAATTCTTGGAAATCAGAGACTTATACAATGTCATACTTTATTAGTGGGTGAAGTAAGCTGAGGACCAGAAGTAGCCTGTAGATCACAGTTCTACATCCCAATTTAGAGTACCTCATGTAAAATTTTACAAAGTGGTACGCATTTATTAATGCAACGTACAAGTAAACAACCATGAACAGTTAAACCATAGCAAGTCAAAGTTTCTTTCAACAATAGTAAGCAGTCCTCTGAATTTTCTCATCTTCCATTAAAAAGCAAAACAGTGAAATCAGAAAAAAATGGAGGTCCTACAGAAAAAGCATTGAGAAGATATCTTCAGTTACCTTTCCCTTGGGATTAAGGTATAAAATGCAAATAATGACCATCAGAGAAATGAAGAAAACTCAGATGAACATTTGTCAAGCATCAGCCCCAGCCTGGGTCCCAAGGGAGCACTGAACTGAGTACCAAGCAACCCTAGGAGCCAGTGCCTTATATCCAAGACAAAATCAAGTCAACACCGGTAATGCAATTGAGGCTTACGAGCCATGAAAGTCCCATGTGAACTTAAAGTTGTAAGTATTGACTGTGGTTAATGCAAATTTAAAACTCAGTAGAGTATCACTAGCAATAAACAACCATATGTGTACAGAATTTAACTTTGGCTGGATTTTTTTTAAGAACTGGCTACAATGTTTTGCATATTTTAATTTAGTACTGAGCTCCCATGATCATAGAATAGGAAAAATGACTTGAAATACTCAACTGCATCTACCTAGAAATCATTCTATCAGTTGTATAGTAACTTTTAAGTCCCACTCTCTTAATCCCTAATTGACAGCTACCAAACGAGACAATACTGAAGAAAATATAAATATAATTAAGTAAATAGTATATTAACAGTGGTCAAAAACAGAGATTCAGTTTCCTCATCCATATAATGGGAATAATAAAAGTACCCACTACAGTAGATGAACTATTTGGTACTATTAGGATAATGATAGTACCTATCACAGGGTTGTTAATAAAGATTAAACAAATTAATTTATGTAAAGCATTTACAATAGTGCCTGACATATATCAATAGTAAATGCTATGTATTACTATAATCATAATCTGTCACTCCACTTATCCAATTTATCTTATATAAATTAAGTTCCATTTTACCAAAAATATACTCTTGCACACCTATGACTCTAAGGGCCACTGGAATAGAGCATAGGTCTTCAAGGAAGCGGTACTTTCACCTCGGAACATTATGGATATTTGGGAGAGTACTTTTTGGTTGTCACTATGATGGGGAGAGAGGGACATCCTGTTGCTACCATATAATATAGACAGGGACAAAAGACGTCACATGTATTTTGCAGGGCTGTTCCACACAAAAAAACTATCTGCCTGGAAATCTTACTAGACTTCCCTAGTCCATTTATATTGGGTTGTCGGAAAAGTCATGATGCATTTTTTCTATGTTTTTCGTTGCAAAAATGTGTCATCACTTTTCCGACAACCCAATATTTTCCCACTCTCCAATATACCTATTTCATATACCTTTCTGTTCTTATACCTCCAATACCTCACCCTGCCTTAGCTGATCTCATCTTTCTTCTTATTTCACTAAAAAATAAAGTCAATCAATAAAAAAATTCCTCCCCTCCCACAAAATCTTCCACCCCATGTGTTTCTGTACCCATATATTCTGCCTTCTTTCCCACTACAGTGGATGAACTGTCCCTTCTTTTATTCAAGGCCAATTCTGCTTCTCTACTGGATCCTATCGCCTTCTAAAAAGCCCATCTTGGGGCCGGCCAAGTGGCACATTGGTTAGGAGTTGGCTTGGGACGCCAGCTCTGAGCAGCAGGGCCCCGGTTCGGATCCCACATGAGGGCCAGTGATGCTGCGCCCTCTACAGCTAAGATGGAGAACAGCTCCAGGTGGAGCTGGGCGGCTCTGTGTCACTGGTGACGGCGTAGGCTGCAGTGGGGCTGGTGGGCAGCAGGCGTGAGCTTTTGTGAGCTGCCGTGAGTGGCTGTCCAATGGCTGGCGAGCAACTGCTTCACCCGGGAAGAGCACACTGATAATACCAACATGGGCCAGTGAAGCGACGTCTTCCACAACTAGACTGAAGAACAAAAGGGCAGCAACTTGTCTGTTCCCCTCCCCCTACACCCCAATAAAATCTTTTATAAATAAATAAATAAATAAATAAATAAATAAATAAATAAATAAATAAATAAATAAATGCCTATCTTAAGGATTTTACTCCTTCCACTCTCTAATGGATCATTCCCACTAATATATAAAATGCTGTTTTATCTCTTATCCTAAAATACAAAACAAAAAACTCCCTTGACATCACATCCCCCTTGTTTTCTCTGCTCTACTCTATATCAAGTTGTCATTCTTGGTATTTCCAATTCTTCTCCCATTCTCTGCTGATCACGCTCTAATTAGGTTTTTATTTCAACGATTACTCTGAAGCCATTCTTAAAAAGGCATCAACAGCTTCCATATTACCAAATATGATATCAATTATCAGTCCTCACTTTATTTAGCAACATCTGACACCACTGATCTCACCCTCCTTCTCGAAGCACATTTTTCACTTGGTTTATGGGATATCATACTCTCCTAATTTTTCTCCTGGTCATTTTACTTCTCAGTTAGCTTTACTGGATCCTCAGCTTCTTGACTGCTAAAGGCAATTTAGCTTTACTAAATTAGGCTTGGGTTTTGGACTTCTTTTTTCTACTTCTACTAATTCCCTTAATCCAACATTATGACTTTAACTACCATCTATCATGCTGAAAATATCTAAATTTATAACTTCAGCCTCATAAACCTATTCACCCCTTTGTCATCTCCACTTGAACATCTAAAAGAAATCTCAATTTTAATATATCTAAAATCAAACACTTTATTTTCTCCATGCCTCCAAATCTGCTCATCTAGTATTCCCCAATCTCAGTAAATGCTCAGTTATTCTGGCAAAAATCTTTGGAGTCTTCCTTGACTTCTATTCCACACAAAACCTACATCAAATCCTGTTGGCTCTACCTTCAAAATCTATCCAGAAACTGAACCATTCTCAACACTTCTACCCTCCTGCCTATTCAAAATTACCTCTTGCCTGGATTATCATGAGTAGCCTCCTAGATGATTTCTGCTCTTGTCCCTTTATCATCCATTCTTCAAAAAGCAGCTAGAGTGATCCTTTAAATCAGATCATGTCACTTCCTGAAGCAGAACCCTCCAATGGATTCCCATCACACTTCAGATAAAATCCTAAATTCTTACAGGAACTATAAGACCACTAGGGCACCCCTCCACCGCCACCTCCCAGCATTATCGCTTATCTCACCACCTACTACTCTCCCTCTTGGTTCCACCAAACCAGCCACATACCTCCTAGCTGTTTTGTGAACGTGCCAGGTATGCTACCACCTCAAGACTTGAGTACCTGATATTCCCTTTCCTCTAATGCTCTTCCTCCAGATATAGAGCTAGTTTATGATCAAATGTCACCTTCTCGTGACCATCCTATCTAAAATAGCATCCATGTCACACTGTATCTTCTTACCAGCTTTTCTTCACACTTATTTTCACTTGGCATTGGAATATATGTCTATTTACTTGTTTATTGATAGTTTCCTCTGTTTGGACAGGGTCTAGGTCATTTTTGTTTATTTCTATAATCCTGGTATATGACAGCTGTTCAATAAATGAATGAATGAATTGAACAGCTGAATAAATAATACACAGGAAATACAACTGTGCTTTTAAAGGCTAGATGGAAACTAATTTTATCAGGCTTTATAGAAGATTGCCTTGTTTATTAAGCTATCTGCCTTGTTAACTATATACTTGAAATTTCGTAATGTGCAAATTTTGTTTTACCAATAGTATTATTACATTTATAGTTCTCTACTTATAAATAGTAAATTAAGCTCTTTTTAATGTAAGAAAGAGTCCAAAGAAATGAAAAGAAGCTCTAACAGTCTTTGCCTTGGATCCATTCTAAAAACATCTGTTAAATTGTTTAGGCCACCAAACCTATATGATGTGTTTGAAAACAAGGCAAATGGGCACTTGAAAAAAGCTGACATGGGAGAGATTCTTTATTTCCATATGTAAATTATAAATTAAATGCTTATAAACAAGGTGTCTACAGGCAAGTGTAGTAGGAATGAAGTTGCCTCTTCAGTATGATATGCTCAGAGAATAATGGGAGTAAATAAGTCATGTGAATGAGATATTCTGAGCCACTGTGGAAATCTATGACCAAAACAAAGGTCACCTTAATTTTTACTAGAATGGTTTCCAGCAAGTTTGGGAACACAGCTAATTTTGAAGCTCCAAAAACATTTTCCAATATTCTAGAATTAAAAATACTTTCCTGACATGAGGTAGAATTATTTAATCAGATATAGATATTATATTTAATCAAACATATAGGCTATTTTAACAAAAGCTACTTCTCAAAGCCAAATTTTCATCAACTTGTCTGGGGTAAAAGCATTCCAAACTCACAATGAATTTTTTTCTACTTTCAATTTGTGTACATTATCTACTGGCATGCTTCAATTAAATATATGATTTTTTCTATAAGTAAAATGACATTCAATGGGACAAATTACTATAACTTCTAATCTATGAAATACATACATACCTGAGTTAAACCAGCACCTGTTTGCACAGAAGACTTTTTTAATAGTCTCACTTCTTTGTTTATGTATCTTAGCATTCCACTAAGAGTACTGAAGTCATTATTTTCAGAACTGTCATCTTCTAGGTCATATGTGAGAGGTTTAAATGAGTCTGACGGGGTATAAGTCAGATCCTTCTGGCTTTCTTCCAATGTTGAAGGTTGTTCTAATCGCATTTTTTTTAAGTCCTTTAGTAAGTCTTCAGAAAGATCTTCATCACTATGAGTTTTGAAACTAAGGTCACTGGCACTAACAGAGCGACGCAGTCTTCCACACTTGAAAAAAGCTGTGTGAGAATGTTTAGCAAATTTTGGATCTTGAATGTCAGGCATAATTTCTGTTGAAGATGTAAATGAGGCTGGTAGAAACTTGATGTCTTCTGCCCTTTCATGTCCAGAAATTTTGGCTTGTAATCTTGTTAATTCTGATTCCTGTAGACGAATTGGTACATAGCACTCAATACACTTTTGTTAAATTTAGAAAATCACAGGCTCTCAGAAGTCATCTAAGACAACCTGCATCTCAGTACAGAAATTCCTTTTATAACAACTCATCAGAGTTTTTCAAGCTCTGTTGAAACCCTTCATTTTGGACAATTACATATTTCACTTGAAATATGTTTGAACTACACTAAGGAATTCCATGAAAACTAGATTTTCCTTATGGAATTTTTTTCTTTTTAGTGTTAATGACAATAGCAATTTCTAGTTAAGACTGAAATCTTATATCTAAAAATTTCTCTGCACAAGTATAGAGATATACTATCTTTTGTTCATTTAACATATATAGACACACACACACACACAAAAACTCCCTTCAGAATTTCTAATAGGAATAAATAAATGCGTATTAGCAATTCTGCTTTGTATGTCATCATTACAAGAAAGCTTTATTATGCTATAAATTTTTCAAAGAAAAACATTTAAGAAAGTGATTAATAATATTTAATAAATCAATCCTTATTAAATAAACTTTTCATTTCTATGATTTTTCCATGTCCTTCATTTGTGTCTCTGACCCTATTTTGGGATCCTAAGAATGAGACTACATATACTAGAAAACCATAAAGCCTAAAAAAGTGAAGAGAAGGCATTTTATTATTAAAAACCAAATAATATGTGTAGCAGTTTCCTGTTCAAATATATTCTCTTTTTCTTATGGGTATCCATGAGATACAAATTTCTAAGTCAGCCACTTTTAATCTGATAGTTTCTATTTTTTTTCAAAAATACTGTGCTTATACTGTCATAACCAGTGAAATGAAAATGAAAGTTTAACATACATATTTCAGTTCTTTGATGTCTTTATACTAGTTTATCTAGATAAACTTTGTAAATGGCTAGAGTGCCAATTTTTTGTAGTAAATCTTGTATTCACATTCTTATGATTATTAATTATAAAGTAGCTATAGAATTGATACATATAGAGTTGTATGGGGAACTGTTTTTTTTTAAAAAAACCTCTTGTATGTTATCTAGCCATAGTTGACAAATGTAGTATCTCAGATAAGTAGGATTCCATTTAATTTACATTTAACACCTAACTTTCATAATAAAATGTAGTATACTAAATACACTGAATATAATTCAACTTTTTCTAAAGGTCACTTTCGTAATCGTTGTAGTGTGCCATAATATAGGGCTCTCTGAAAGTGGTCTTAGCTTTGCCTTGGCTCCAGCTGCCCTCAAATACTAGGCACTGGTTAAAGTACTAAAGGAAGCGAGCTGGAAAGATCAATGGCCTCAAAGACTGTTCTCCCTCATTTCTGTTTCTGTTCTCTGTCATTTAATGCTGCTGTTAATGGAATTGCTTTCCATTATTTATAGCTACTTCTAATTACTACAGTTATGCCAGTGTCTGCTCTATTAGTTTTTCTTCTTTCTCTCTTATCCTATTAAACTCCTCTTCAGTCTAGACTTTACAGCCAGTTGACTGACTTTGAGAGCTAGTGTCAGAAAACAAACAAATTCTATTTTCTGACTGGTATATTGGTTAATCATGGTACAAGTTCTAATATCTCTATATGTATATTTCATTTTACAATTGCTGCTATTTACCCAATATTTTGGTAATTTCCAAAGCAGTTGAAGTTAAAAACTTCTAAATAAGGGCCGGCTGAGTAGCATGATGGGTAAGAACTGGCTTGGGACGCCAGAGGGCCCCGGTTCGGATCCCACATATGAGGGCCAGTGACACTGCCCTCCACAGCTAAGATGCTGAACAACAGCTCAACCTGGAGCTGGGCTGCCGTGAGTCGCCGGCGACGGCGTAGGCTGCAGCCCCTGTGGCAGTGGGTTGCCATAGGCTACCGTATGTATCCAGCAGCGGTGACTGATCTACCTCACCCGGGAAGAGCGCAATGATGGTGCCAACTTGGGCCAGTGAAGCAACGTCCTCCACAACTAGATTGAAGAACAAAAAAGGACAGCAACTTGCCTGTTCCCCTTCCCCCAATTCCCCAGCACTGTTCCCATCCCCCCAATTCCCCAATAAAAAAAATTTAAAAAATCTAAAAAAAAAACACAACTTCTAAATAATAGATAAGTGCAATCCAATTATATTTATCTCATTGGTAATATCTAACAAATGAGCAGAGATAACCACTGTGACACGGGATACACAAAGCAGAATCTCTTAAATTTTAGAGTCAATTTTTCACAATAAAGTTTTATAGTTTTGTATAAATGTTGTAAATCCTCAGAACACTAGGTATATTAATGTTTCAATAAGAGCAGAAATAGTATTCAACCGAACCATAATTTTAGATTGTCTGTTCAGCTCTCCTCTAGTACTGTGAATATCAAGTATATATAAGAAATTTAAGGGCCAGCCAAGTGGCTCAGTTAGTTAAGAGCTCACTCAAGAGTGCGAGCTCTGAGCAACAGGGTCGCCAATTTGATTCCTAGCCCAAGCTGAGCTGCCGCTGAGCTGCCAATAGATGGCAGGATGGCTCAGCTAAAAAAAAAAAACAAAGAAATTTAAGTGCTCAGCTTAGTAAACTAGAAATATTTCTAAAATATTATTTGATAGAGTTTTTTGGCTTCTCAATAACTTCCATTTTACTATGAAATCATTAATTGCTTTATAACTATCAGTGAGATTGTTCTTTTTTTTAAGGTCTTGGCTAACAATGGTTAATCATACATATTAGCAGTTTGGAAATAATATTAAAATTTTTATCTCTATGCATCAATACTGATATTAAGTCCAAATTCCAGAGTAAACTGCCATGACAGTATGGGGGAATAAGTAGTAATGGGCTATTTGAAAAATGAAATACATACTCAAATCCAGTAAAAATTAAAAAATAAAATTTTGCATTTTCTGATTTATGATTTTTAAAGGAACTTTACTGATTTTGAAAACCACTTTTTCTTTTTCTTTTTTTAAAAGATTTTATTGGGGAATTGGGGGAGAGGAACAGGGTTGGGGAATTGGGAAGGGGGACAGGCAAAATGATGTCCTTTTTGTTCTTCAGTCTAGTTGTGGAGGATGTCGCTTCACTGGCCCATGTTGGTATTATCATTGTGCTCTTCCCGGGTGAGGTAGTCGCTTGTAGGCCATTGGACGGCCTCTCACGGTGGCTTGCAGCAGCTCATGCCCACTGCCGGCCAGCCCCACTGCAGCCTATGCCATCGCCAGCGACTCACGGCAGCCCAGCTCCAGGCCGAGCTATGAAAAATGCCACTTTTTAAATACACCAAGTATGAAATCCTCTAAAGTAAACACTATGAGGGGCCGGCCAAGTGGCACGTTGGTTAAGAGCTGGCTTGCGACACCAGCTCTGAGCAGCAGGGCCCCGGTTCGGATCCCACATGAGGGCCAGTGACACTGCCCTCTACAGCTAAGATGGTGAACAACAGCTCGACCTGGAGTTGGGCTGCTGTGAGTCGCTGGCGACGGCGCAGGTTGCAGCCCCTGCTGCAATGGGCTGCCATAAGCTACCGTGTGTGGCCGGCAGCCAGTGTGTGCTGCCAAGAGCTGCTGTGAGCGGCCATCCTGTGGCTGGCGACCCATCTGCCTCACTCGGGAAGAGCGCAATGATAATGCCAACATGTGCCAGTGAAGCAATGTCCTCCACAACTAGACTGAAGAACTAAAGGACAGCAACTTGTCTTTTCCCCTTCCCCCAATTCCCCAGAGCTGTTCCCCTCCCTCAATTCCCCAATAAAATCTTTAAAATAAAAACAATAAAGTAAACACTACGATTAAGTTTGTATTTGTGTAAGTTCAGGTCTAAGATGGCAACAGGGTGCTCCTCCCACGACACAGCAACTCTATAGGTAGCTATGCAAGGAGCTATAAATCCCATGCCCAGCACAAAGCCATACAATGGGAGGGAACACCTGACTCCCAACTTCTCCCTGAGGAGTAAAGAGATTGGACCCCATATCTAGCGCTCCAATTTTTAAGACTCCCACCTGAGGGATGGGCCCCCAAAACAGTTAGCTCTGAAAGCCAACAAAGCATTCATGAGATACACAAGAATACAGCAAACAAACAGTTCTTAACAGGTTTGTTATGACACATGATACCTAAACTCATAGGACTTAGCAAAGAAGAAGCAGGCAAAAAAAGACCGTCAACCAGTCATTCCCTGAAAAAGGTCTATTACAGTACTTTAAAAGCTGTTGCTTGAGTTTCAGCCTTCTAATACAGCATGTATCTAGGGGCAGGCTGTGATCCTCCCCCAGAGACCAGGGAAGCTGACAGGCATATCTTCACTGCCTTCTCCCTCAAGTCTGGTCCGAATTGCCATTATCTCCTTGGAAGGAGCTTGTACACAAGTCTGGTGCCCAAGCTTTTGAAACTGCTGCCCCAGGGATAGGCCCCTGGATGGGGCCTCTGAGAGCCAACTCATGCATTCGTGACTCCAACAAAACTGTAGCAAACAAAGAAGCAGTTCTTAAAGGGCAAGGAGCAATCCCTTGCAGCTATGTACCCAGGCTCAGTGCTGAGGGAGCAGGCAAAAAAGCCCTTTAGCCAGTTTCTCCCTCGAAGAGTCTTAACTACATACTTTCCCAGCTGTTGCATTGAGAGTTCAGCTTTCATCCAGCCTGCATCTAGGTGCTGACTGAGAACTTCCCCTTTGGGATACTGACAGGTCTCAGCACACCTTCAACCACTAGGAGCCACTAACAACAAAGAAGGCTCTTTGGACAATCACAAAGGTTTGAAAGAAAATAAGGAGCTCAGGCTAGGCTGATTGATAAGGCACATCTCCTACGTGAGACCCCTCCATCAAGACTGGGAAAGGTGGCTGTTTTATCTAATGCACAGAAGCCAACAAAGAGAGTCAATAAAAAAGAAGAAATAGAGGAATGTGTTCCAAACAAAAGAACAAGTTAAAACTCCAGAAACAGACCCTAATGAAATACGTAAAAGAGAAACATGTAAACAGAGATGATTATTTGACAAAGAGACAAATAACCATCATAAAAATGCTCACCAAGGTCAGGAGAATAATGTAATGATAATTTCAACAAAAAGAAAGATAATTTAAGAAAATAACAAGCAGAAATCACAAGAGTGAAGAATACAATAAGTGCACTGAAAAATTCAATAGAGGAGTTCAACAGCAGACTAAATCAATTGGAAGAAAGGATCAGTGAACTTGAAGAGAAGGCAGTAGAATTCATTTAATCAGAGGAGCAAAAATAAAAGAATAAAAGAATGACAATAGCTTAAGGGACTAATGGGACACCATCAAGCAGATGAACACACTGTAGGAGTCTTAGAAGGAGAAGAGAGAGAAAGAGAAGCACAAAGCTTATTCACAGACATAATGGCTGAACACCTCCCTAATTTGAGAAAAGAAACAGACATCCAGATCCAGGAAGCCCAGAAAGTTCCAAATATGATGAATCCAAAGAGACCACACTAAGACACACTAAGACACACTTATCAAAAGTTAATTATAGAGAGAACCTAAAAGCAGCAAGAGAAAAACAACTTGTTACGTATAAGAGAACCCCCCCTTAGATAATCAGAGAAACGTTATACGCCAGAAAAGAATGGCACGTTATATTCAAAGTGCAGAAAGAAAAAACCTACCAAGCAAGAACACTCTTCTCGGCAAAGCTGCCCTTCAGAAGTAAAGGAGAGAGTTTTCCAGACAAACAAAAACTGAAGGAATTCATCTCCACTAGACTGGCCTTACAAGAAATGTTAAAGGGACTTCAAGCTGAAATGAAAGGACATTAACTGGTAACAGGAAAACATGAAAGTTTAAATCTCACTGGTAAAGTTAAATATACAGTTAAATTCAGAATGCTCTAATGCTGTAATGGTAGTGGGTAAATCACTTATAATTCTGGATTGAAAGTTTAAAAAGTATTAAAAAGAACAGTCAAAAATAAGATCCAATTATATACTGACTTCAATCTTAAGGACACACACAAGCTGAAAGTGAAAAGATATAAAAATACATTTAATGTAAATGGAAACCAAAAGAAACTGGGGTTGCTATACTTATATCAGAAAAAAACAAGGCACAAATAAGATCCTTACATAATGATCAAAGGGTCAACTCAACAAGAGGATAAAGCATTTGTAAATATTTATGTACCTAAAAGACATAGGAGCACCTAAACATATAAATCAAATATTAACAAACCTGAAAGGAGAAATAGGCAGCAATATAATAATGGCAGGGGACTTCAACACCCCACTTTCATTGATGGACAGATCATGCAGACAGAAAATCCATAAGGAAACACTGAAATTGAACTAGACTTCAGATCAAATGGACTTAACAGACATTTACAGACCATTCCATCCAACACAGGAGTATATTCATTCTTATCAAGTGCACACGGAACATTCTCCAGGATAGATTATATGTTAAGCCACAAAAAAAATCTTAATATACTTAAGAAGACTAAAATCATATCAACCATCTTCCAACTACATTGTTATAAAACTAGAAATCAATTACAAGAAGAAAACTGGAAAATTACAATTATGTGAAGATTAAACAACATGCTACAGAATAACCAATGGGTCAAAGAAGAATTCGAAAGAAAATAAAAAATTATCTTGAGATAAATGAACGGGATATAGAAAAAGTAGGTCTGAAAGTTTATAAATGCCTACATTAAAAAACAAGAAATATCTCAAATGAATAATCTAACTTTACACATTAAGGAACTAGAAAAAGAACAAACTCAGCCTAAAATTAGTAGAAGGAAGGAAATAACAAAGATCAGAGTGGAAATGAATTAAATACAGACAACAGAACAGGTTGATAAAATTAAGATCTGGGTTTTTAAAAAAATAAAATAGACAAACCTTTAGTTAGATTTACTGAGGAAAAAAAAAAGGGAGGACTCAAGTAAAATCAGAGACAATCAAAGACCAGATGGCTTCACTGGTGAATTCTACCAAACATTTTAAAAAGAATTAATATCAGTCCTTCTCATACTCTTCCAAAAAGCAGAAGAGGAGGGAATATTTTCAAACTCATTTTATGAGGCCAGCATTATACTGATACTAAATCAGACAAGGACATTTAATTAATTTATTAGTTCTAACATTTTTTTTTTGTAGATTCTTTAGAGTTGAGACAAGAAAAGAAAATTATAGGTCAATATCCCTGAAGAACACACGAGTAAAAATCTTTAAAAATTATTAGCAATCCTATTTCAAAAATACATTAAGAGAATCCCACACCATGATCAAGTGGGATTAATTCCAGGGATGCAAGATTGACCGAACATTTGCAAAACGATCAGTGATACACCAAATTAACAAAATGAAGAATAAAAATCATATGATCATCTCAATAGATACAGAAAAAGCATTTGACAAAATTCAACATCCAGGGGGCTGGCCGAGTGGCTCAGTTGGTTAAGAGCTTGCTCAAGAGCTCGAGCTCTGAGCAACAGGGTCACCTGTTCAATTCCTGGCCCGAGCTGAGCTGCCAACAGGTGGCAGGATGGCTCAGCTAAAACAAAATAAAATAACAAAAAAACCCCCAAACAAACATATCCATTAATGATAAAAACTCTTAACAAGTGGGTATACAGGGAACGTACCTCAACATAAAAAAGGCCATATAGTATAAGCTGGCATTTAACTTTATACTCAACAGTGAAAAGCTGAAAGCTTTTCCTCTAAGATCAGGAACGAGATAAATATATCCATGTTCACCACTTTTATTTCACACAGTACTATAAGTCCTAGAAAAAACTCTTTAAGAAATAAAAGCAACCAAATTGGAAAGGAAGAAGTAAAATTGTCTCTATTTGCAAATGACAGGATAGTCTACATAGAAAACCCTAAAGAATCCACCCCAAAACTATTAGAATTAATAAATTAATTCAGAAATCCTTTGTTGCAGGAATACAAAATCAATATATAAACGGCAGTTGCACGGGCCGGCCGAGTGGCGCATTAGATAAGAGCTGGCTTGGGATGCCAGGGGGCCCTGGTTCAGATCCCACATAAGGGCCAGTGACACTGCCCTCCTACAGCTAAGATGCTGAACAACAGCTCGACCTGGAGTTGGGCTGTGGTGGGTCGCCGGCGACGGCATAGGCTGCAGCCCTTGCTGCAGTGGGTTGCCATGGGCTACCGCGTGTAGGCAGCAGCCAGTGTGAGCGGCCAGCAGCTGCAGTGAGCGGCCGTCCAGAAGCCGGCGACTGATCTGCCTCGCCCGGGAAGAGCGCAATGATGGTGCCAACTTGGGCAAGTGAAGCAACGTCCTCCACAACTAGACTGAAGAACAAAAGGACAGCAACTTTGTGTTTTCCCCCCTTCCCCCAATTCCCAGCGCTGTTCCCATCCCCCCAATTCCCCAATAAAAAAATAAAATCTTTAAAAAAAAAAAAAAGTGTTGTTCAAACATTTATAAATTATTTCTCCTGTGGTAATATGATATACATCATATTAATAATTCCCAATTCAATGTGTTCTAAATAAAATGCTTTTCATTCAAATAGGTCAATACTTGGTCATATAATCCTCTACAAACTATAAGAATGGGAACATAAATCATAAATTTACTTTTTCATAGATATGTGTGGATGAAAAAATCTAATGGAAAGTAGCCTCAGGATGATCTGATCATAAATTCCTAACTGGGCAGGTCACGGTGACAGTTGCCTCAGGCCTATAACTTCCCAAGTAAAAGGTTATCTTTGCCTTAAGCAAGCCCTGTCCACTGTTCTTGTGCACCTAGGTTAACACACCTTTGAAATGTCAGAGTAATCCTCTTTTTCAGAACTCTCTTTTTCAGAGGCATAACCACTCTCAAGAGAGCACATAATCTTATTAACTATACTGTAATCCAATCACAGAGATTTCCTTGCCTTGTGTTCTCCACATTTCATATAATGTTTCTTACATTCCCTCATTAAATCCAAATGTATAAAAGAAACTGCAAACTATCATTCTGGGAAACATTTTTCTCAGTCTGTTGAGATTTTGCTTCCAGGCATGTCCTCTGTTTGGCTCAAATAAACTCAAAAAACTTTTTTTTACAGGTTTGGACATTCTGATGTCAACATATGCTTTACATACTTTTATATGTTTACTTACTTTAATAAGTAATGCTTCATTTGTAGCTTCAATTACTTCATTTCTGTCTTGGACTTGTTGGTGCAAACTGCTTACAGTGTCCTGGGCTTCTTCTAATTCTAGTTTTGCCTTCTCTAACTGTTCATTTAGTTGCTGAACAGAAGTCTTTTGAGAATCAGCAGAAATTTTCCACTTTTCATGGTTCTCTTGATGTGAAATCATCTATATAGCCCCAAAATTAAAAAGGAAAAAAAGAAAACAGGGTGGAGTTGGTTTCAACAACATTCCACTTCCACTTAAATGAAAGTAAATTATGTTTTTAGTCACAAATATCTGACATATAACATATTTGTCACAACAAATAACATACTAGAGAAAAAATGGGGGAGGAGGAACGTATAGTCTAAAATTTACTTAAGAATACCATATTTCCCCATGTATAAGCCGCTCCCATGTATAAGACGCACCTTAATTTTGGGGCCCAAACTTTGAAAAAAAATATATTACATAAACTTATTGAACTCAAGTTTTATTCATCATAAAATTCATACTTCTCATCACTGTCAAAACTCCTAACCATTAGCTTGTCCTCATCTGTGTCTGATGATGAATCACTGTCTTCATATATTGCCCTCATCCTCAGTTCCATCTATGGAATTTGAAATTTATAACCACTGTATAAGATGCACCTAGTTTTTAGACCCCAAATTTTTGAAAAAGGGTGCGTCTTATACATGGGGGCATACAGTAGTTAACCAAATAAAATTGACTGTTTTGGGATCCTTTTTTTTTTTTTTAAGATTTTTATTGGGGAATTGGGGGGATGGGAGCAGTGCTGGGGAATTGGGGGAAGGGGAACAGACAAGTTGATGTTGTTTTGTTCTTCAATCTAGTTGTGGAGGACGTTGCTTCACGGGCCCAAGTTGGCACCGTCATTGCGCTCTTCCCTGGCGAGGCAGATCAGTCGCCGGCTTCTGGACGGCCGCTCACTGCGGCTGCTGGCCGCTCACGCTGGCTGCTGGCTACATACGGTAGTCCATGGCAACCCACTGCCACAGGGACTGCAGCCTATGCCGTCGCCTCACAGCAGCCCAGCTGTAGGTTGAGCTGTTGTTCAGCATCTTAGCTGTAGAGGGCAGTGTCACTGGCCCGCATATGTGGGATCCAAACCAGGGCCCTCTGGCATCCCAAGAGAGTTCTTAACCATCGTGCCACTCAGCCAGCCTTGTTTTGGGATCCTTATATGAACAAATCAACTATGAAGACCTTTTTGTGACAATTAGGGAAATCTGAACAATGACTGGATAGTTGATGATATTAAGGAATTACTGTCAATTTTTAGGTGTGATTTTTATTTTTAAAAATAGCCTTTATCTTTTAGAGATAATTATGAAATGTTTACTGATGAAACAGTGATGTCTGGGATTTGCTTCAAAATGATATGTGATAATGGGAATGGGGGTTCAGGGGTGGAAAGGAAGTAAATGAGGTTAAAGATATAGTGACCATACTTCCCAGTTTGCCTACCACTGTCTGGGTTTCATGCCTTGGTGCCCTGGTTAGTTAGTAACAGCATCTCTTTTCATTCTCAATGTATTCCTTTAAATAAAAGAAATGGTCAAAATACTTATAGATGAAATCAAATTGACCAAGGGTTGTTAATAATAAATATGGGAGGATTTATACCATTCTCTCTACTTTTGAATATGTTTAAAATCTTCCACAATTAAAAGCTTTCTAAAACCTCATTTTCATAAAAAAATGTTTTGCAATTACTATTAAGTGACTTTTCTGACAATTCTGAAACCTGTATTTAAAAAAATACTTTTAAAAATTATTGATCCCTTTTCTAACTCTATATTAATGACATATTGTCTCATATTTATATTCAAACAATACATACCTTTAAAAATAAATCTTTGGCAAGTACCAGAAAAGAGAAAAACATTACTTTTTTTTTTTTAGCATGTAAGTATTTATTTTAACTACTCCTATTTGGTAGTCCTTATTTTTGGAGAACAGCAATGGCATTTTATTACCCACTGTTTCCATTGCTTAAAGGCTTCCTTAAAGGTTTTGGAAGTTCACTTATCCTCATGACTATGTTTTGGGGAGATTCCAGAGGTGCCAGCAGATTCATCATCAATCCACCACACCAGCACTTTGTATCTTTTTATAATGTTGAAGCCAATGGTACACTGCAACTTGGGTAAAACAGGTAGGACAAAGGTTTCCTGGGCATTGGTCAGCTTTTCCCAAGTGGCTGGAGCCTTACATTGGGCATGCAAGCCAACAGCAGTGTTGAAGTCCAAATATGTGTCCAATCTCATGGGTTATAAAGACTTACAGGATCAAAGCAGCAAAGTACAAGTCACTTCAGGAATGTAATAGTTATCAAAAATTGAATAGTCACTTGAAGATGTTTTCTGCATTTTTTTCACTTTGCTTTCATAGCATGAGCTATAAAAAAACTGCCATACCTGGCAAAACTGAATATTCCACACCATCTGACAAAGAAGCCTATCCAAAGATAAAATTCCAGGTTAAAGATCAATCATTGTTATTCTATTTCTATATCACAGAAGGCATCTTTAGATTTCTGCATTTTTAAGAACTTCAGGATGTGTCCTGCATGAATTTGTAGGTTCTGTGTGATATCATCGACTCTAAAGGAACAACTCGTTGCAGAGACAGAAACTGGTTCCAGGCGTTTTACTGTCAAGCCATACAAAAACGCTTCCCAGTAGCCATTGAGCCATTTATTATATTCTTTACTGATAATTCTGGTCTTTTTTCTAAGAGATTTAATGCATTGTATATAAAAAATGTGTTTCTCTAGAGAGGGTGTCTTTCTTTAAGGATCACTGAAAAACTGTTCCAAAGTCTTGGGGAGCCTCTGAATGGGAGGTGGTCCAATCTGATTGCAGATCCAAGGAAATGGGCCCAAAGAGATTACTGTATGTCGGGAAGGCTTTGTTCATCAAACGCTGCTCCCAGCATCTCAGTTCTCATACTGTGATACAAATGCTGGGTTCTTTGAGATGAGAGCTGTTTTTAGTGTCTGTTCAGAGTGCTGTACTATTTGCATAATGAGAGGTCTCCTCCATTCACATCGTGTTCAGATTTACTACTTTCACTCTGTTGAATGGGTCTAACAGCTATTCCACCACGAGGCTTACAAAGACATGCAGGTCTAGGCCTGGCCAGAACAATGTTGTACCAGGTAACTTCACCCTTAACAGGCCTCAACACCATCTGCAGTGGCCCCTGCACATGTGCCCATATTACATATTTTTATGTCATACATATAAAAAATTAGTACCAAATATTACACAATACTAGAGTGAATTTTTATAATTCATTTATATACTATCTGCTTATAAATAATTTCAGGTTGCTTACAAAACTAGAGGTATAAAAGTGGATAATTAAACATAAAAGTAGAATAGAGATCATATAATAGAAGTGTAATGAGTAGTTGCTAGCAAACACTTGAGATGGACTAAGTATTATTGATGGTCACTAAGTTGAGCAGCTAGTATCAATTAAATAATTGTGCTGAATCCAACAGCATTCACACTTGTCTCTAAAGTCCAAAGTTTGTAAATGCTTGGTCTGAGATTGGCTTTAGCTTGCAAGTGCGTTTCATTTCACAGACACGTTTTCAAAGAGATCTGAATCCAAATGCATTTAGGCAAGACATAGTGACCACAAGCCTGACATATCCTTCACAAAGATGTTACCAAACTCCCTTGAAAGATGTTTAATATAAACGTATCTGTAAGCCTTGCCACATAGAAAAATGCTTTATTAGAACTTCATAAGTAATTTATTTAGGTCTTATAAATAAATCCTGGATGATATCTTCAGATGTAGTTTTTAAAAAGACAAGAAATTTTATTCTAATTGGTAACACTGCCCATTTCTACAAAGGTTCAGATATAGTGATAAATAAAAAGCAAAGTATCAGGTTTTGGTATTGCCTATCTAAATACCAGAACAAATCTTGGATATTGTAAAGCATTATAGATTCACATCACATGAAACTACTTATTTTGGATTTTAAATACCTCCAGTTAGTTTTTGGCAAGTTATATTTATATATATATATTTTTAAAGATTTTATTGGGGAACTGGGGGAGGGGAACAGTGTTGGGGAACTGGGGAAGGGGAACAGCCAAGTTGTTGTCCTTTAATCTTAGCTGTGGAGGGGGCAGCAAGCTCAGCTCTGAGTCCAGTTACACTGCTCAGCTCAAGGTGCTGTGTTCAATTAGTTGCGGGTGGGCGTAGCCACCATCCCATGTGGGAGTCGAACCAGCAGCCTCGTTGTTAAGAGCACATGCTCTAGCCACTGAGCCATCCGGGCGGCAGCTCAGCTCAAGGTGCTGAGTTCAGTCATAGTTACGGGTGGGCATAGCCCACGATCTTGAACAGGCAACCTTGTTGTTAGGAACATGTGCTGTCACCAGCTGACCTATCCTGCCACCTGTTGGCAGCTTGGCGGCAGCTCAGCTCCGGCACAGCTCACTAGCCCATGGGGGAATCAAATCGGCGACCCTGTTGCTCAGAGCTTGCACTCCTGAGCAAGCCCTTTACCAACTGAGATACTCTGCCAGCCCATGGCAAGTGCTATTTTATCACTGATGATGATGATGATGATGATGATGATGATGATAAGCCATGCTCTGGTGTAAGAACTGTAATTATACTAATTCATTTAATCCTCAACACAGTTCTACGAAATAGATACCTTTATTATGTCCATTGTATGAACATATACCTTTATTATGTTCACTGGATATGAAGAAAAAGTGATTTGTTTAGGGTACCATAAATAAAGACCGCAATGTGTTATTCTATAATGAACATTTAAGAGCTAAGGTTATACTTTTGTCCAGATAGGTCAACTCACTTTAGCAGAGATAATGGTACAAATTAAAATTTTCTTTACCGCCAGATGATAAGCTTCTTTGAGAGATTCCAGTTCTGCTGACAGTTTCTTGATTTCTGCTTGCATTCTTGCTTCCAAATGAGCTTCACGTACTTTAGAAGCCCCCAATTCTTCGGCTAAATGGTTTCCATGAGCTTCCTTAAAAATGACATATTAAGTAAAGGGTATATAATTTGTTTATTTGTTAACTATCGGTAGGACAATCCAGTGCATTTATGGAAATACTTTAATCTTTTATAATATTATAAACACTCATATACAAAATTAACTTATTAAATGGTACACTTTAAAATCTAGACATTTAAAAGACTACTAATGAGACAGTATTGGTATATTGTTTGTTATCATAATGTAAGTTCACTACCAATGCTTTTTGTAAAACTGATAACCACAGCATGCTGAAATTTGGCATATAGATAATAGTCTACTCTTAGGTTTGCCCATGCAATTGTGTTTACCAGATGTGCTGTGTATTTATCAAGAGTCAGCACTTATCCAAACCTATTTATGCTACATGTGCTTGTTACTGTACTTACATCATTTTATTAAACATTATGAACACTGCATGCAAAAAAAAGTTTTTATGTGAAAACTAAGTTATATTGCTTTGAAACCACTCAATAAGTGAAACACAAACATTTGCTCCCCAATTAGAAGCAGTCAAGATAGTTGTAAAACATTGTGGGAAGCTCCATAAAAACTATAAAAGATGCTATATTCTGATTGATTTACAAATGTCTTTTAATTCTTCTTCCACTTTAAAGAAACCAAAACTGGAATAAGAGTATGTATGGTTTATGCAAGAAATACTAGGTGGAATTCTAATCAAATGACCCCATTCATACACAAAGAACCAAGATTGGTCCCACATTAAAAGATTAACATATGAATGTATATTTAGAGTTTTGGGTTGAAATAGAATATTTTTAACTGTGATTTTAAATAATTCCCACATTCACTCACTTTTTTGATTAAACTTATCAGATAAAATCAATTACACTGTACTTAGATACCACTGATAGGACAGAAATGAGATAAAAGTAGATAACGTCCCTTCTGGTGGACTCCCAAATGCCTGACACATTTTAATAAAAATTCTCTTTATTTTTTTTTATTATTATTATTATTATTTTTTTTTAGCTGAGCCATCCTGCCATCTGTTGGCAGCTCAGCAGCAGCTCAGCTCGGGCCGTGAATCAAACCGGGGACCCTGTTGCTCAGAACTCAAACTCTTGAGTGAGCTCTTAACCAACTGAGCCACTCGGCCAGCTCTAATAAAAATTCTCTATTCTTTATTGATCTAAGCATTCAGAAATGTGAATAAAAACATTGTTACGTTAACCAAAATTAAGCATAAAAATATTTAACTTAATTCCTGTACTGAATCAGTAACCATAATAAAAAGCAAAAAACCACAAGAACTTTTCTAGAACACCAATAAATATACTTTTGTCAAAGTCTAAATAATTAACCCACATACACCAATCTAAATATTTTTAAGCCAAGTTGTTAACCTTCTACCAATTACTGGGGAAATAAAATTTATATTATTGCTCAAGTGTTCTGTCTGGACTACAGGTTTCATAACAGTTAAAAATTTAAACAATCAGTTTTCACTTATAAGAGTGGCTACAAATGTAAAAACTTATACTCAAAAAACATTTATTAGCTTTATTTTTTCTTCAACTGATAGCTTAAACTCACTTGAAAGTTTAAAAGTGCTTCATAATTCAATTTACTGAAAACCAATTAGGTGGCCAAACTCAGTTCTGAGGAACTTCCTGGTTACATTACAAAGCTATGCTAAATATAACACATTTTTCTTCTTTTTAAATAACATAAAATTTACCACTTTAATCATTTTTAAGTGTACACTTTGGTGGCATTAAATACATTCACATTGTTGTGCAACGCTAACCTTAGTAAGGACTGTATTCAACATTCAAAAAAGTGAATGGTAAAATTTTTAAGATTTTGCAATTAGGTAAATATATTTAAAATATGAATTACCTTCTCTTTAGAGAGTTGCTTTACTTCCTCCAGTTCACTTGAGAGCCTTTCTGTTTCTCTCTGTGCTTGGACTTGTTGACGATGAGCCTCCACCAACTCTGTATGACAGTTCTGCATCTGCTCTCGGGTTAGCCTCAATTCTTGCTCCAAATCTATGGCTTCCTTATACTGAGTTGCAATATACTGTTCCTGCTCTTTCATAACCTAAAATACGCAAAATATTTGTTAGTTTCAAAATGAAATGATACAGATAACCTATTTCTTATTTTGATTTCTTTTTTAATAAGTTACTTTCCTCCTCCCAACTAAATCTCTGTAAAATTTAACATAACAATGAATATCATCCACTGTGAAACTGATATTCAGAAAATGTTTTTTTCCTTTTTTAATGACAAGAAAATGACAAAAGTACTATAATAAATCTGGGACTCACTGGTATATTTTGCATGACTTTAATATGCAAGCTGTAAATCCTTTATCATGAATATAACAAGACAGAACATATTATAAAGAGAAAAAACAATTTAATATTTGATTATCCATATCAAAGATGGAGAATATATTGGCATGAATAATCAAAACCAACCATTAATCCACACAGCTGGATTAAGCTCATGACCTTATTCTTTGTGAAAGTAAAATCTGTCACTGGGATTGCTACTCTCTCTGAAATACTTTGACAATACTCAGTTAAATCTAGTAAAGTATTGTTTCTTAGAGGAAAAAAAAATCAGTGAAAAGAAATTAGCTCTAAATTAGCTTGGTTAGGTAGGTTAGGTGGTAGGTAATAACAGTTGATTTTAGGACTAATGAGAAGAAAAGAAACCAAATTACTAGGACCCTGATTTCTGGAATGGGGGTCCAGGGTCCAACTCTGTTTTATAATAATATAAACCTCATGTAAATATTTTTACCCATCCTTGTTAGGGAACATAAAGTGATTGGGCCAGTAATCATTTATGCCCCCCCACTGGGGCCCAAGCTTCTTCTCAAGAGACCCTGCTTGATTTATGTATATAATAATTAAACTAATATTTATGCTTACTACGTGGTATGTACTATTCTAGGTTTTGATACAATAGTGAACAAAAGGAGACAAAGTGGTCACCCTTATGGGGTTTATATTCTATTGGAGGAGGCAGATAATCAGATAGTCAAATACAATAAAGAGTGATATACAAAGTTTTAAAGTTCAGTACAGTATTTAAAAATAAGAGCAAGTTACATCCATGAAAGCTCTTAGAAACAATATCAGTTTTTAAAAGGCAAGTGGGTGGAATGGGTTCACCACTGCAAACCGGTGACATGAAGTCATCAAGCTTCATCTGGCAACTCATTAGAACATCAGAATAAAACATTTAATAAGATCAAAGAAACTGATAGGTATCTGGCTTAAATAATTACCTTAAAAATACTTATGGTACAGTTTCTGTATATTAAAAACCAACTAGTTTAAACATAAAGACTGATATCACTCTTCAGATACTACTATTTGTTCCTTAGGAGGAAAATAATTTGCTTACACTTTCCATTTCTTTCATTTTTTGTTGTGTTCGTTCAGTTTCTTTTTTCAGTTGACTGATCTCCTGTTCATTTTGCAGTGTTAAAAACTCTTTTTCTCGAAGCTGTTCTTTGGCATTTTGCAATTTTTCATTCAAATTTTCTATCTGAATTTTAAAAAGAATAATATTAATACAACTAAGGAAAAACAATTCTTTAATCATAACTGCAATCCAAGTTAAGTCAAGCTTTAAACATATATATCTAAAAGTAGCAAAATAGGGCCGGCCAAATGGCACATTAGTTAAGAGCTGGCTTGGGACGCCAGAGGGCCCAGGTTCAGATCCCACATACGAGGGCCAGTGACACTTCCCTCTACAGCTAAGATGCTGAACAACAGCTCAACCTTGAGCTGGGCTGCCCTGAGTCTCCGGTGACGGCGTAGGCTGCAGCCACTGCTGCAGTGGATTGCCATGGGCTACCGTGTGTAGCCAGCAGCCAGCGGCCGTCCAGAAGCCGACAACTGATCGGCCTCGCCCAGGAAGAGCACAATGATGGTGCCAACTTGGGCCAGTGAAGCAACATCCTCCACAACTAGACTGAAGAACAAAAGGACAGCAACTTGTCTGTTCCCCCTCCCCCAATTCCCCAATGATGTTCCGATCCCCCAATTCCCCAATAAAAATCATAAAAATAAATAAATAAAAGTAGCAAAATATAAAGATGTGTTAAGACAACCATAACTTAGACATAAACATCAGAATTCTTGCACTTAATAAGATGCTTATATGTATACCTAAAATATGATAAAAAGAGATAAAAGCCTCAATCATATTTGTATAAAAAAGGAAAATTAGGTTACAATGAAACGACAAATTTACATGGCCTTACAAATAATTTTATAGGTAATATGTTGAAGAGGTAAAAAATATAATTAGTGAAAAACTCCTCATCCCACTGTGTTCCTTTTTTAGAGGCAACCACAATTAACAGAATTACTTGTAAATCCTTCCAGAGATATTTCAGGCATGCACACATTATGATATGTATGTGGACACATTGATATAAGAAAAACTACATTCAAAATAACATTAAGAAGGTAGTCACCAGGTTCTAGGAAGTGGGGAAAACGGCGAAATGCTGGTCAAAGTGTACAAAGTTTCAGTTATGCAGGACAAATAAGTTCTGGAGATGTAATGTATAGCACTGTAACTACAGTTAGTAAAACTGTATTGTATACTTAAAATTTGATAAAAGAATAGATCCTAAGTGTTCTCACCCAAACCAAAACAAACAAAAAAACCTAAGGGAGGTGAGGATATGTTAATTAGCTTGATTGTGGTAATTATTTCACAATGTATATGTATATCGAAACATCACATTGCACACCTTAAATACATGCAATTTTTATTTGTCAATTATGCCTCAATAAAGATGAGATAAAATATTAAAGAGAAAAAAGAATATAAAGTAGCATGTACAAGGTGATTAAACTTATGCAGTATTTTTATTATATGCATTCTATGAAAAAGCTATGTTATGTGAACAATGGATGCTTACAGTTTAGTAATTTAAAAAAAATTTTTAAATATGCAATTTTTCATGATTTACCTGTTTGTTGCATTCTTTAAGTTCTAATTCTGATTTCTCCAGGGTACCCTCTAATTTAATTATTTTCTGTTCCATTTCTCCCCTGTGCTCACGAATAGTCATATCCAAATGTGTAACCTAAATACAAAAGTAACATTAAACTGCTGTTCGATTTTATTCTAATGTGGAAAATTGGGCACCTGGAATGTGTTTTAGAATGATTTATTGTGGGTATAACTGAAACAAACTCATCTCAAATAAATTATTAAAAAGAATGCTTACTAATTTTGGATCTTAAGCCCTACATCCAGGGTGCCAAAAAAATGTATACACATGACTTGTATTCATCTTTTGTTATCGGTATATATTATTACAATTTTAATACAGTTTTTTCCTTTCTTAAAACGTGTATACAAGACTGAATCAAGAAGAAGCACAAACTCTGAACAGACCAATTACTACCAAAGAAATTGAATCAGTAATCAACAAGCTCCCAACAAACAAAAGTCCTTGACCAGATGGCTTCACAGGTGAATTTTACAAAACATTCAAAAAAGAATATCTATTCTCCTCAAACTTTTCCAAAAAATACATTAGGAGGGAGGCTCTCAAGCACATTTTATGAGGCCACTGTTACTCTGATCCCAAAATCAAAGGCATTCCAAAAAAGAAAACTACAGGCCGATATCCCTAATGAACATAGACACAAAAATCCTCAGCAAAATTCTAGCAAACTGGATTCAGCAACACATTAAGAAGATCATCCACCACGATCAAGTGGGATTCATTCCTGGTATGCAAGGTTGGTTCAATATCCGCAAGTCAATTAACATGATACATCACATCAACAAAATGAAAAATAAAAATCATATGATCATATCAATAGGTGCAGAAAAAGCATTTGACAAAATCCAGCAGCCATTTATGATAGAAACTCTTAATAAAGTGGGAATAGAGGGATCATATCTCAACATAATAAAGGCCATATATGATAAGCCCACAGCTAACATCGTACTCAGCAGGGAAAGGCTAAAACCTTTCCCCTTAAGATCGGGAATAAGACAAGGCTGCCCACTTTCACCGCTTTTATTCAACATAGCTCTGGAAGTTCTAGCCACAGCAATCAGACAAGAAAATGAAATAAAAGGCATCCAAATTGGAAAGGAGGAGGTAAAACTGTCATTATATGCAGATGACATAATATTAAATAGAGGGAATCCCAAAGACTCCACCAAAAACTATTAGAACTGATAAATGAATTTAACAAAGTAGCAGGATACAAAATTAGTATTCAGAAATCGTTGCATTTGTATACACCAATAATAAACTATCAGAAGAGGAAATCAAGGGCCATCCGAGTGGCTCAGTTGGTTAAGAGCTTGCTCAAGAGTGCGAGCTCTGAGCAACAGGGTCGCCAGTTCAATTCCCACATGGGCCAGTGAGCTGCGCCGGAGCTAAGCTGCCGCTGAGCTGCCAACAGGTGGCAGGATGACTCAGCTGGTGAGAGCACGTGCTCCTAATAACAAGGTTGCCTGTTTGAGATGGTGAGCTATACCCACCTGTAACTAAAGACCGAACTTGGCACCCTGAGCTAAGCTGCCGCCCGGGTGGCTCAGTGGTTAGAGCGTGCACTCTTAACAACAAGGCTGTTGGTTCGACTCCTGCATGGGATGGTGGCTACGCCTACCCACAACTAATTGAACACAGTACCTTGAGCTGAGCTCGCGACTGGACTTGGAGCTGAGCTTACTGCGCCCTCCACAACTAAGATTAAAGGACAACAACTTGGGCTGGCCGAGTGGCTCAGTTGGTTAAGAGCTCACTCAAGAGTTTGAGCTCTGAGCAACAGCGGTTCGAGTCCAGCCCGAGCTGAGCAGCCGCTGAGCTGCCAACAGGTAGCAGGATGGCTCAGCTTAAAAAAAAATAAAATAAAATAAAAAATAAAATAAAATAAAAGGACAACAACTTGGCTGTTCCCCTTCCCCAATTCCCCAACACTGTTTCCCTTCCCCAATTCCCCAACACTGTTCCCCTTCCCCCATTCCTCAATAAAATCTTTAAAAAAAAAAAAAGAAATCAAGAAATCAATCCCATTTACAATTGCTTCAAAAACAATAAACTACCTAGGAATAAATTTAACCAAAGAAGTAAAAGACCTGTACTCAGATATAAATTATGAGACACTGGAGAGAGAAATCAAAGAAGATACAAATAAATGGAAATATATACCATGGTCATAAAAAAAAAGTATATACATTTTTTTGGCACCCTCTGTATATATTACAAAAACTTAAAAATATGTTTATGTTCATAAATGACAAAATAAATGATTCAGACTTCATTTACATTATTTTATGCTAGATAAAAGCTGCTAAATACAACACAACATAAGAAAAATTGTGAAATCAAGCAAAAGTAGTTCTTGAAGGAAAATTTATAGCACTGAAGACAAACATTAAAAAAAGGAGAAATACCTAAAATCAATCATCTAAACATCTACCTTAGGAAACTAGAAAAAGAGGAGCAAATTAAATCCAAAGTAAGCATAAGGAAAGAAATAATAATTATGGAACAAATCAATGAAATTAAAATTAGGAAATCGATAGGGAAACTCAATAAATCAAAAGTTGTTTCTTTGAAAAGATCAATAAAATAAAAGTCTCTACCTAAACTAACTAAAAAAAAAAAAAAGACACAAGTTACTAATAGCAAAAATGAAAAAAAGAGGCATTACTACAAATTTCATGGACATTAAAAGAATAATATAGGAATACTATGAAAAACTCTGCCCATGAATTTAATAAAACTAAATGAAGTAGACCAATTACTTAAAAGACACAATCTGCCAACACTCAGAAGAAATAGACAATCTGAATAAGCCTATATCTACCAAAGATATTAAATCAATGATTAATATCTTTCCAAAACAGAAAGTACGTGGCCCAGATGGATTCAGTGGTGAATTCTACCAAATATTTGAGGAAGAAATTATACCAATTCTCTACAATCTCATTCACAAGAAGAAGCAGAGGAAATACTTCCTAACTCATTCTGTGAGGCTAACATTACCGTAATACCAAAAAAAGGACAAAGAAATACCTAAGCAAAAATGCTTAGGTATAAATCTAACAAAATACATACAAGATCTATTATATATAAGGAAAACTACAATACTCCAATGAAAAAATAAGAGAATTAAATAAATGGAGAAAGAGTCAATGTTCATGGATATTCCAATCAAAATCCTAGCAAGTTATTTTATGGATATCGATAAACTGATTCTAAAGTTTATATGGAGAGGCAACAGACCAAGAATGGCCAAGACAATATTGAAAGAGAAGAACAAAGTTGGAGGACTGATGTTACCCAACTTCAACACTAACTACTATAAAGTTACACTAATCAAGACAGTGTGGGCCTGGTGAAAGAAAAGGTGAATACAGGGTTGTCGGAAAAGTCATGATGTATTTTGTCTGTTTTTCAAAGGTAATTTATTTATATAAAGAACAAAGATCAATCAATGATATATTGCCCATTTTGTTCGATAGCCTTTTGGCATCTTTCAGTGAGCTTCATAATTCCTCGTTCATAGAAGGACCTGTCTTTATTTGCGAAAAACTGAACAAGGTGCTGATTGACAGCCTCATCTGAATTGAACGTTATACCATGCAAGGAGTTTTGAAGACAGCGAAACAAGTGGAAGTCTGACGGCGCACGATCAGGCGAGTATGGTGGGTGTGGCAGCATATCTCATTCAAGCTCCAATAATTTTTTTTTTGATTTTTTTTTTTATTGGGAAATTGGGGGGATGGGAACAGTGCTGGGGAACTGGGGAAAGGGGAACAGACAAGTTGCTGTCGTTTTGTTCTTCAGTCTAGTTGTGGAGGACGTTGCTTCACTGGCCCAAGTTGGCACCATCATTGCGCTCTTCTCTGGCGAGGCAGATCAGTCGCCGGCTTCTGGACGGCCGCTCACTGCGGCTGCTGGCCGCTCACGCTGGCTGCTGGCCACACACGGTAGCCCATGGCAATCCACTGCCACAGGGACTGCAGCCCATGCCGTCGCCGGCGACTCATGGCAGCCCAGCTCCAGGTTGAGCTGTTGTTCAGCATCTTAGCTGTGGAGGGCAGTGTCACTGGCCCTCATATGTGGGATCCGAACCGGGGCCCTCTGGCATCCCAAGCGAGTTCTTAACCATCGCGCCACTCGACCGGCCCCAAGCTCCAATAATTTTTGACGGGTGATCACACTTGTGTGTGGTCTCGCGTTGTTGCGGTGGAACACAACTCCTTTACAATTAATGAGCTCTGGACATTTCTGGATGACTGATTCGTTCGAACTGTCCAATTGCCAACAGTACACATTCGAATTGATTGTTTGGTTCCTTGGTAGGAGCTCGAAAAACATAACACTTTTAAAATCACACCACACTGGGAGCATAACCTCCCTCTGATAAATGTCTGCTTTCGATGTCGTTTGAGGCAAATCATCACGTCAGGACCAAGACCGTTTGCGCACCACACTGTTGTTAACAATCCACTTCTCATCACCAGTTATCAGTCGCTTCAAAAAAGGATCACTTTCCTCATGTTTAATGAGCATATTGCAGATGTTTATACGCGCCATCAAATGAACTTCTTTGAGTTCATGCAAACCCAAATATCGAGCTTGCTTACATACCCAGCTTCTTCAGGTGGTCGTGAATGTTTGAATGATGGATGCTCCATGTTTCTGCAATCTTTCGTGTCATGTAATGTGCGTTTGACTCAATCAATGCCTTTATTTTGTCGTCATCAACCTCGGTGGGCCTCCCTGATTGAGGAGCGTTGTTGAGATCAAAATCACCAGCACGAAATTTCGTGAACCACCGTTGGCACTGATGCTCTTGTAGAGCACTGTCACCATAAACTTTATGCAACTTTTCACAAGCTTGATATGCATTCTTCCCTTTATGGAAGTAAAACAGTAAAATATGGCAAAAATGCAGTTTGGTCTTCCATCTTCAACTTGTTGTAAAATCTCCAACACTCAACCAAATCGCTCAATTTTTTTTTAGAATGAAGCTAGAACTGTCAGCTGTCAAATGACTTAGCAATAACATAGATGCAAATGATTCTAGTACTTCCAAAAATAAACTAGTGCCATCTGTTGCAAAGATGTGTCATGACTTTTCCGACAACACAACAGATCAACGGAACAGAATACAGAGCCCAGAAACAAACCTACATAAATGAAGTCAACTGGTCTTTGACAAAGGAGCAAAGCCAATACAGCGAAGAAAAGATAGTCTTTTCAAGATGTGGTGTTGGAATAAGTGGACATTCATAGCAAAAAAAAAAAGAATCTAGACACAAACATGACATCCTTCATAAAAATTAACACAAAATGTATCACAGACCTACAAAACTACTGTAAGATAACATAAAAGAAAACCTAGATGACCTTGGGTGTAGCGATGACTTTTTAATTGTAACACCAAAGACACAATCCATGAAAGAAATAATTGATGAGCTGGACTTCATTAAAATTAAAAATTTCTACTCTGTAAAAGCTAATGTCAAAAAAATGAGAAGAAAAGCCACACACTGGGAGAAAATATTTGCAAAAAACAAATCTGATAAAGGACTGGTATCCAAAATATACAAAGAACTCTTAAAACTCAACAATAAAATTATAAACAACCCAATTAAAAAACTGGCCAAAGATCTTAACAGACAGCTTACCGAAGAAGATAAACAGGTGGCAAATAGGCATAGGAAATGATGCTCCACATCATGTATCCTCAGGGAAACACAAATTAAAACAACAAGGAGATACTACTACACACCTATTAGAATGGCCAAATTCCAAAACACTGATAACACTGAATGCTAGCCAGGATGTGGAGCAACAGGAACTCTCATTTGTTGCTGGTGGGAATTCAAAATGATACAGGCACTTCAGAAGATAGTTTGGAAGTGTCTTATAAAATTAAACTTACTCTTACCATATGATCCAGCAATCACACTCCTTGGGATTAACCCAATAGAATTGAAAACTTATGTCCACACAAAAAGCTGCACACAAATGTTTATAGCAGCTTTATGCATAATCGTCAAAGCTTGGAAGCAACCAAAATGTCCTTCAATAGGTGAATAGATTAAATAAGCTGTAGTATATCCAGACAATGGAATATTATTCAGCACGAAAAAGAAATGAGCCAGCAAGGTATGAAAAGACATGAGGGAGCCTTAAATTCATGTTACTAAGTGAGGAAAACCAATCTGAAAAGGCTACATACTATATGATTCAAAGTATGTATATAATATTCTGGAAAAGGCAAAATTATGAAGACAATAAAACGATAAGTGGTTAATGGGGTTGGGGGGAAGAGAGGGAGTGATGAATAGGTGGAGCACATAGGATTTTTAGTGCCATGAAAATACTGAATGATAGTATAATGATAGATACAAGTTATTATACATTCATCCAAACACACAGAATGTATAACACCAGGAGTAAACTGTAATGTAAACTTTGGACTTTGGGCGATTCGGATGTATCAATGTGGGTTCACGGTTGTATCAAATGTACCACCTCTGGTGGGGAATGTTGATAATGGGGGAGGCTATGCATTTGTGGGGACAGGGCATATACAGGGAATCTCTGAACCGTCTGCTCAATCTTGCTGTGAACCTAAAACTGGTCTAAAAAATAAAGTCTTCAAAAAAGATGCTGGTAAATAATACCTTCTGAATATTTTGGCTCTTCCAACAGATACTAACTGAGCAAGTAAATCCTTTAATCTCATCTTCTTCTGATACACAGTAATATAAGAGATCAAAACGTTCAGATACTAAGTTAACCTTCATTCTCAAAAATCCACTTGCTATAAAAATAGCAAGATAAAGAAAAATGATCTACAATATTTCTAATTCTTAAAATATTTACATGCACAGAAAACAAAAATGCTATAAAAATGTCCATTTTACCCAAAAGCGGGACCTCTGAAACACTGTGATTGTATTTTAACAGAAAATTTCATTAAAATATAATTAATAAAACCAACTTGAGCTGCTCTTTGCTTTAGCTCCCAATTTCTCTCCTTAAGTGCCTGATCCATTTCAAGGAGTTCTTGCTTTTTGTCTTCAATCTCCATCTTGCATTCTCTGAAATTTATCAAAGGAAAAAGATCAAAGCAAGTATTAGGAATATTATAATTTTAAAAAATTGGGCCGGCCGAGTGGTGCGATGGTTAAGAACTCGCTTGGGATGCCAGAGGGCCCCGGTTCGGATCCCACATAGGAGGGCCAGTGACACTGCCCTCCACAGCTAAGATGCTGAACAACAGCTCAACCTGGAGCTGGGCTGCCATGAGTCGCCTGCGACGGCGTAGGCTGCAGTCCCTGTGGCAGTGGGTTGCCATGGGCTACCGCGTGTAGCCAGCAGCCAGCGTGAGCGGCCAGCAGCCGCAGTGAGCGGCCGTCCAGAAGCCGGCGACTGATCTGCCTCGCCAGAGAAGAGCGCAATGATGGTGCCAACTTGGGCCAGTGAAGCAACGACCTCCACAACTAGATTGAAGAACAAAACGACAGCAACTTGTCTGTTCCCCTTCCCCCAATTCCCCAGCGCTGTTCCCCTCCCCGCAATTCCCCAATAAAAATCTTTAAAAAAAAAAAAAAAATTAAGTCAACCAAGTTACCTTTTCTATAAGTTAAAAGTGATAGGATACACAAAATTATTTCAGATTGAAAGGGCTCATGTTAAAGTAATAATGTATAAGCAAAATGATTGATATTAATACAATTACTTTAATAGAGTGTTCTAAAAAAGACAAAAGTTAACTCAAACTCTACTATTGTACACAATTTAAGCTAAATGTTAAAGCTCTCCCAGGGTATAAGATTGAACCAGTGTAAGAATTAAAAAAAAAACACGCCATATTTTTTCATCTATAGATCAAGGAAGGGATTATATGAAAGTCTTTTCTATATAACAGCTGTGAGTTTATTACTACTGAATAAGGCATTTATTTCATGGTTGATATCGCTGATGTCCACAGCTCAGTAAATGACCATTGTATTTCTCATGGGAATTTTACTCAAAATGATGTCATACATACATCATTTGAAGTACACTATACTATAAAATATAGTATACTATAGAAATGAAGTACACTATAAATATTTTTATAAATATATATTTATACATACATTTTATAAACATATCTTCTTATAAATTCTCATCTTCCAAAAACTCTAACTTATGTGTAATTTTATATTATAAAAATGCTTAGTACTAACACAATTTTAAGACTTTTACCAGTCTGAAAGCTGTGATCAGAGAATTTTAATTTGGAACTCTATGTTCTAATATGACAGTCTGAAAATGTTGATCTTGAAAATCTTAATATGATTTTTCCAGTCTTAAATATCAAACAATATTGAATAAAGGTACTGATTTTAAAAAGCAGATTCTGAATTTGTTTAATGAGCTGTTTATTATCTCCTAAAAGTCAAGAGTTGTAAAATACAAGGCTAAACTAATATTCTAAAGGTAACGTGAAATGAATTCTAAAGAAAACTCTAACTGCTCTCTATGCAAATAACTGAGCTTCCAAAATTCAGCTATTAGCTAGAATTTAAGATTTTATTTTTACTTCTTTCATTCATTCATTCACTTAATCATTTAGCAAAAATTTATTGGATGCTTCCTGTATGTCAGGGTTCTATGTACTTTGGATTTAATAGTCAACAAGACATATACATGTCCTTCACATGGAGCTTACATTCTTGGGTCCAGAAAGGAAAAATGACTATAAATAATAAACTACTCAACAAGAAAAATATGATAATATAAAGTACTATTTTAGAGCATTAAATAGTAATGAAATAGTGACTGGGTGGCTACTTTATTTATTTATTCATTTATTTAAGCTGAGCCATCCTGACACCTGTTGGCAGCTCAGCGGCTGCTCAGCTTGGGCTGGCAATCGAACCGCTGTTGCTCAGAGCTCAAACTCTTGAGCGAGCTCTTAACCCACTGAGCCACTTGGCCGGACCCCTGGGTGGCTACTTTAAAACAGGTTGTCAGGGAAGGGCCCTCTGACGTAATGCGAAGGGCAAGAAGCTGGCCATATAACCATTATTTCAGGCCAAAGAAAGAGCTATAGCAAAGTTCCAAGGTGGGAAAAAACTTGGTAAGTTTTAAAGACAATAAAAAGGCCAGGAGCAAGGAGAAAATTATGAAATGATGCCAGAAAATCAGGCAGGAACCTTGTCATGTAGCGCTTTGAATTCCAGAATAAGGAGATTGGATTTTTTTTTCTTTAAAAAGTCAGCATTATTGGTTTTTAAACTTTATTAGGGAACCGTGTGTTTTTTCTAGGACCCATCAGCTCCAAGTCAAGTCCTTGTCTTCAATCTAGTTATGGAGGGCGCAGCTCACTGGCCCATGTGGGTGTTATGAACCTGCGCTCTAACCACCTGAGCTAACCGGCCGCCCAGGAACTTGGATTTTTTTAAAATTGTGGTAAAATACATATAATGTAAGATTTACCATTTTAACCACTTTAAAGAATACAATCAATTTCATTAAGTACATTCACAATGTTGTGTTACCATTGTCACTATTTCCAATACGTTTTCATCACTTCAAATGAAAACCCCATCCCATTTGCAGTTATTTTCTATTCTCCCTCACCCCAGTTCCTGGCAATCACTAATCTGCCTTATATCTCCATGGATTTTTTAATTCTGGGTATTTCATATAAATGGAATTACGCAACATGTATCTGTTTTCTTTCATTCAGCATGTTTTCAAGGTTCATCCATGTTGTAGCATGTATCAGTACTTTCTTTTCATGACTGTATAATATACTTGTATGGATACACCATATTGTGTTTATTCATTCAACTACTGATGGACATTTAGCTCGTTTAACTGAGTGGCTATTGTGAATACAGCTTCTATGAATATATGTGCGCAATTTTTGTTTGAACACCTATTTTCAATAAAATTTTCAATTTTAGGTACATCCCTAGGGGTGGAATTCTTGAGTTATATGGTAATTCTATAATATGTTTAACCTATTGAGGAACTGCCAAACTTTTCTGCACAGCAGCTATACCATTTTAGTTTCCTACCTGCAGTGTATGAGGGTTCCAATTTCTCCACCCACTTGCTAACACTTGTTATTTTCTGGGGCAGGGGCAGGGGTTGCTTGTTTCTTTTTATTATGGCCAATCTAGTGGATGTGAAGTGGTATCTCACTGTAGTTTTGATTTACATTTCCCAAAGAGCTTGGATTTTATTCTGAATCTTTTGGGAAGCCATTAGAAGGTTTAAGTAGGAGAGCAGTATGACCTGATTGATGTTTTAAATCATAAACTTAAATCCATTCTGGATTGTGGGGAGGGTTAAGAATTTAAGCTGGGAGACCAGTTGGGAAGTCACAGCAATAAACCAGGTGAGAGATAATGATGGCTTATGATAAGGTAGTAATAGAAAAGAGGGCCAAGAAATCAATGGATTTTAGAATATGTTTTGGAAATAAAGTTGACATGACTTGCTAACAGACTGAATGAAAAAGGGAAGAAAAGAGATAAAATAATCACAGATTTCTGGTTTGAGCTATTGTATAATATTGAGAGGGAGGGCAGAAAAAAAAAAAGAGTTGTTTTGGCCAAGCTGAAGAAGCCTCTTAAAAATATCTAAGTGGGGATAACAAGTAAGTCATTCGATATTTGAGCCTGCACTTTGGGGAACAGGTCATTACTGGAGATATGGGTTTGACAGTCTAACATACAGTATTTAAAGCTACATGAAATTTACTAAAAATTAGTTTATGGGTAGAAAAGAGAAGGGAGCCCTACACTGAATCATGAGATACATCTGGGTCATCTTGCCATTCTCTATCCTGTTCTTTCATTCCACATCCTGGTTTGTAATTCTGTTTTCCTTTTTGGAATCTATTTCCTACACTTTGGCTCTGGTCTGACTCTCCACCCTCACTTACCGTAATGTGTGCTAGAACAGCTTTTTATGCTCTAGCTGCTAATCTAAGAACCAGAATTTTAGCGTTGAACAGACTTGTGTTTAATTCCCTTCTCGGGAACCTCTACCTGACTTTGGGCATTTTACTTAATTTTCTCAAGCCTCAGTTTTCTCAAGTATAAAAAGATAGTCAAGATCATATATGAAGTCCCTGCCATAGTCCTGGCACAAAATAAGGGCTTAATACAAAGAATAATATTGTAATTATTAATATTATTTTGCTATTAACCACTGTTGTAGGCTGATTCAATCATTTTTCCCACTATAGAAAACAGGAGTGGGCCAAAGACGGTCCAAAGACCAAGGATAAAATCTTAGCCAACAGCAACTGCTGAATTAGTTAGATGGAGCATGGGAAAGGTTGACCAGGAAGAGTCTCAGTGAGCCAAAGGCAGTTGAGAAATTTGGACATCTAGAATTCAGCAACAAACTTTACTGTAAGACTCAAGGATTCCGAATAATAAAAGTGAAATACCTGAACTGTGACAGCATTTCTTAGTATTTAACTCACCTAAGTTCAGCTGTGAGATCCTTTATGGTAGTATATTTTTCCTCTAATGATAATTGAGCCTTCTGCAGTACATCTCTCAATTCCTGGAGTTGTCTTAAAGTACTTTTTAATTCTCCATGAGCATTTTGTAGTTCAGTCTCTAGTACTTCCTGTTTCTGCAAGGCTTCTGTTAGTTCAGTTTCAGTGTGGTGCTGTAACTTTTCTAACTCCTTCACTGTTAACAGAATTATTGTAAAACTACATATAAACCATTTATTATTAAGAACTTTGTAAATAATTATAATTAAAAATATTCAATTTTATTCTAGATCTACCAGAGGCAAAATAATGATACTCATTGTCCCTTCCAATCCCACCGTCCCAAATTCTTTAGTCCACTTCATTAAATATAAACAAACAGGCAGCTAAGCTCAGCGAACCTGCTGCTTACCAGCATTTGTTTTCTTATCTAGTTCTGTCCTTGTCTGTTCTAAGATCATGTCTAACTGAGAAAGATGCATTGCTTTATTTTCTCCATCTCGTTTTAGGTGCATTATTTCTTTTTCCATTTGAGACAGCTCTTCTTTGTATTGATCCATCTCAAGTTTTACTTGCCTAATTAAAAACAAAAAATAAAATAAAATGATAATCTGAAAACTTAAAAACAACTGACTTATCTCTGACTAAACAAAGACTTCAAGTTATATGAGGACAAATATCAGCAAAATGTCTAGTCAGAATCTTAAATCACCTATTATATTGTTTAAAGTGCTCTAACTAAAAGATTGTAATTCAGTACCAATTACATACTACTAAATACAATTGTACTACCTAGCAATATTTAGCAAGGCTAGCATTCTTTTCACTCTAACTACAGTTAACTTTTTTAAAGCTTTATACAGAGTGAGACCATCCACAGATAGGTACCTCATTCTTAATTTCTATTACCTGCAACACAAAAAATAAATAAGCCAGGCAATCAAAATATTCATCATAAAGACCATATGAGTATTACTCATAGGAGAGCCAAGACAGTCATTTTTTACTCAGACATTTGTTATGTTATCTTTTTAGCTTTAAAATGGACTAGAGATTCTTAGACTAGTGCTTGCTTTACAGATGAGGAAACTGGAAGGTTAAGTGAATTGTCTAGGTACAAACAGTTATTACAGTGAGAGGGCTAGGTTTACTAACTTTCAGGCAGTCCTGGGCTTATTCCAATAAGGAAGTTTCGCTACCTAAAGACTAATCAACACAATGAGGGGAAGTTTTAAGTCCATTTGCTGGTAATTACAAAGTGATATTCACTAATTAAACTAATGTCATCCACAATGGTGGACAGAGCTGATGCTCCTTTTTTCACTGTCCATGAGTGAAAATGAGGAAAACTTAAAAACTCCTGAAACAATATGCAAAATTACGTATGCATATGTACATCTATGTATGAAAATGATCCATATCCTCAATACGTCCATGGCCAAAAAAGTTAAGAACTACTGGATTAGACAAGTGCTAATGACCCTTTTACATGTCTAAAATTTAGGTAAATGATTTTCAGTTTGGCTAATTCTCTTATGTTAGGATAGACATAAAACATAATAAAAAAAAAGAATAACCTAAAGATGCTGGCATACAGTACCAAGAGATGACAGCTTGTCAGTAAAGGAGTTGGGGAAAATTAAAAAAAAAAAATAAAGAACTCAAAAAGCACAACCATCTACAGATATTTAGTAAAAAAGAAACAGAGCTCTACACTCCTCAAGGTTTCATGTTTAGCACAGTATAATAACTGTGGTATGCAATGATAACCCTAAGACACCAGAGAAAATAAAAATAACAAGAGAATATATATTTTGGACAATTTCTATCAAAAAAATTTTCTTGTTTTGTTTTAAGGTTTCAGTACTTGGTAAAGATAAAGTCTACTCTTATTTCTTTATTTACGAACAACTATGCATTATATCCTTATGCTATGCAAATGAGGCATTACTATAATACAATAAATATTTAAGGATTTAAAAATTTAAGTATTATATAAATAAACCAATACTAAAAATTTTCCCATAATGTCCAAAATTTTATAATGGTGTTTAAACCCACCAGTTTTTCCCAAATACTTCACCTTATTATCACCAAATGATTGTGGGGAATCAATAACTCTGAGACTGAGAATGGGGCCAAAGGAAGGATTATGCAAAAGTAATACTAAACTTTTAGAATGTAACAGCTGAGACTCTGTAGCTTCTTCAAATGTAAAAAAGATCTTCAAATGGCTAAAGGCAGTCTGATAAATTTAACAAGTGCTATATGAGCCTCAGCATTGAAAACTCAGGGTTAGAATCATTTACATGCAGTGTCATTTACATGTAAAGCCAGCAGAAACTTCATTGTGGTGTTCACAGAAATAACTCAATTTTAGAGCACATCTAAATTGTGCATCTCATACCCTAACTTCTTTGAGTTTCAGCTTCCTTATTTTTAAAACTGGAATAATAGGGCCAGCCGAGTGGCACATTGGTTAAAAGTTGGCTTGAGACGCCAGCTCTGAGCAGCAGGGGCCCAGTTCGGGTCCCACATTAAGGCCAGTGACGCTGCGCTCTCTACAGCTAAGGTGATGAACAACAGCTTGACCTGGAGCTAGGCTGCAGTGAGTCGCCGGCAATGGCATAGGCTGCAGTGGGGCTGGCCAGCAGCTGGCTTTCGTGAGCTGCCATGAGCCACCGTGAGTGGCCATCCAATGGCCGGCAAGCAACTGCCTCACCCGGGGAAGAGTGCAATGATAATGCCAACATGGGTCAGTGAAGGGAAGTCCTCCACAACTAGACTGAAGAACAAAAGGACAGCAATTTGTCTGTTCCCCTTCCCCGATTCCCCAACGCTGTTCTCCTCCCCCAATTCCCCAATAAAATCTTTTAAAAATATAAAAATAAAAAAATAAAATAAAACTGGGATAATAAAACTTGATACGGCTGTTTTGAAGATTGAGTTAATATGTTTGCCTAGCATACTACCTGGCATACAGAGGGTGCTCACTAAATTAATTTCCTTTCTTTCTATCTGAAGATATTTTAATGCTAAAACAGACTAGGAGATATATAACAGATATATTATGTATCAGATATATATAACAGACATTATATGTAATAGATATAAACATAACAGATATATTTTAACTCTAATACTTTTAGGGAGAGGAAAACAGTTTTATACAATAAATTGTAGTTCCAGAAGTGAAAGAAGCAATAGCAAAAATAGAGAAACAGAAAACCTTGCTTCATGAAGTGATTTCTTGGAAATAGGGTGCATCTTTCTTATGCAGCTTAATTATCTAGTTCAGGAGTCGGCAAACTGCAGCTTGTGAGCCACATGCAGCTCTTTGGGTACATTCCGTCTCAAAAGTTTGCTGACCCCTGCTCTAGTTTATAAGCTTCCTATTGGTATTTGCGACTTACTTTTCCTACTGAATGTGCCTATTTGCCATAATCATGAAGGGTTTTTGTCTAAAAGTCAAATTGTAGGGGTGAGAAAAGGAAGAAATAACTGCTTCAATTTTCTCAGTGAAACAGAAAGCAAGATTGGGGAGGGGTTGTTGGAGTTTTGAAAGAAAAGGCAAAGGTGTAGAAGAGTATTCTACAAGAGTGAGTAATATTGTGATCGCCAGATAGCATTAAGAAAACAGTTAAAGTATGAAGTTATAAATTTAAAGTAAGATTGGTCAGTGTGGTTATATTTTTCTCCAGCCTCTACAAAGATGGAGTAGTCTGAGTTGGAATTTTAGGCTCAATCTCACAAAGTAAGAGAGATATGGGAGTTATGGGTATATGCAAATCAGTGGTTTTAATGACTAATAAGAATTTAAGCTGGGTAAAGAGAGAAGAGAGGGCATCAGGGATTGAGACAGTTGGGGAACTGATGGATTAGAGGGTAAGATCAAAGAATTGTCGAATTTGAGGTATTAAAAGGGAATGAGGTGATAACATAGGGGTAGATGCATAATATTCAGATTATTTTGAAATACTGGAGACATTATAAATGACAAGATCTAGGGTAAATCATGTGAGTTGAGTGGCTGAGGTATAATAGAGATTGTGATCATTAGAGAAAATTTTTAAAAATGAGAGGCTAAGGTGTCAGAAAGATCAGCTAGATATATGTAGAAATCCCCCAAAATAATGACAGAAGTGATGTTAAAGAGAGCAACAGTAAGTCAGGTGGCCTGTAGGTGTCAGCAACAGTGAGGGATGATATGATCTGATGACATTGAGGTTCATGGAGTATACAGGTAGTATACTATCCCACATCTTGACCCTGTTGTACAAGAACTGTGGGAAAAAGTTTTTATTTTAGAAGGCTGCAAGGAAAGAAGCAATGTCCTCAGGAGAGTCAGATTTCTATTTCTACAGCGGGAAAGAGAAGTGCAGAATACAGGGGATGCCTCTCCAGACAGATTGTGAATTTCAGAGGACACAGTGGAAGTCTTTCAGAAGGTGGAATGGAATGGGAGAACGGAAGAGAATATGTGGAGAGGTTAGTGTGAGAGATGAGGGTTGACCTGGAAATCTTAGCTTCTTGTGATGTTTCACATAAGCAAGGATACAGTTGTACTGTGATTAATCTTTGAGGGATTAAAGTATACACTGGTGGTGAGGCTGTGTTAGTGGGTAGACACCTGTCAATGGAAGAAAGAAGGTCTGAAGAATCTGAAGAATTGTGATCTTAGCCTTACATAGGACACCCTCTTGACCATGTTTTTAGAGAGTTGAGGACATCTGGGGGAGCAAGTTGCTACTCAAAGGACAAAGGTCTTATCTTTATTCCTGTCAGCGGGGGAGAGGGAGCCAGGGGACATGTGGTTTTAGTTTAAGTGCATAAATCAACTCCTGACTCCTACTGGTAGAATAGTGGGCTAATTATGAGTGCATTATTAATTATGTCAATTCTTGTTAACAAAGTAGAAGAGGTCTGGGGAAGCTGGGTATGGCTTTCAGCTCAGGTGTCCCTTTCTTGACTAATTAGAAAGGGATGTCTGAGCTGAAAGCTATAAATCAGAACCTTTAGAGGTGGAACCCAGGCATCAGTACTTTTTAAAGCTCCCTGGGTGGTTTTAATGTTCAATCAAGGTTTAGTGAAGGTTGAGAACCACTGCTTTATTCTGTTAAATTATTCCCTCCCATAAATAATTAGACCCAATTTCTCTATATGAGTACATTTTTGTCTGAAACTTAATGTTATTCACAATTTAATTTACTACAACAGTTGCTGAGTGCCTGTGAGGTATAAGGAATTATGCTAACTGTTGTGGCGGACCTTAAAATAAACCAGATATTATCTCGGCCTTAAGGAACTTATAGTAGGAAGGTTAAGAGGGAGGTATAAACAAAACACTATAGGAACACAGACTGTAGAGAAATTAATTCCTTAACCAAAAGCTTCACTGAACATTATCTGTTATTGAAACTCAGATCTACTGATGTTGAAACAAAAAGATAATAAAAACTAACATTCATTTTACCTGGCAGTGCCAGTAAGCTCAATAACTTTCTGCCTTTTCAAATCTGCTTCATGTGTGGCTGCTTCACATTTCTCCTCCATTTTTCTCAACTTTTCAGCTGAATTTTCCCTTTGTTTTTGAAGTTCTTGTTCCAGTTTTGATACCTTGTAAAGTTTTCAGTAAGCATTTTAAATTCAGTCACAGCTCAATATTCTTCAGAAAGAAAATATTTATACAAATTTGTAGCCTAGCCTATCATTCAAGATGTATTACAAAAATCAGTGTACAGATCAGGAAGTATAGCAAGTCCTTGAAAAATGTCATTTCATTCAATGCTGTTTCACTGTAACATTGATGAGGTACATAAGAACCTAACTTTTGTTTACACTGATTAGCCTGTGGTAAAAATGATTTCATTATACATCATATCGCTTTAAAGTCACAGAACTTATTGAAGTTGTTTTGAAATATAAAAGCAAAGCAATTTTTAATAATAAAGATATTTCATCCATATACATATTTATAGAAGTGGCCACATCATAACACTAAAATAGGACTTATAAGAATTGAACAAAATAACGGTAAATGTTCCCCTTTTCATTAACCCCATTTGAAATGTTCTTACTTCTCTTGTCAAACTATGTTCCTTTCCTTCTTCACAAACTGGTTCATTCAGTGAAGAATTTCTAGATTCATCTGCCCTTAAATATTCCAACCTAACTTGCATTTTCTCCTATTCATTCTTCCTTCTGTTTTACTACCGTGAAGGAGGTATTCTTCCTCCTATACAAGTCAAATTGCTTCATAGGTGTTCTGGATTCAATTCCTATCCACTTTCTCACAAACCTCATACAATTGACTACCTCTACTCTCTGCTGTATCTTCAATCTCTCTTCTGGTTTCTTTATATTATATTAGCATTTAAGCATGTTCAAGATCTTCCCATCGTAAAAAATTTTCCTTTATACTCCATTTCCCTCTAACTACCACCTTTTCTTCCCTCCTCTTCATAGCCCAACTTCTGAGAGTTTTCTATGTTTGTTGTATCATTTTCTCACTTCTCATTCATTCTTCGACCCATAGCAATCTGGTCATTGTACAGAAACTGCACTATTTCATCAATCACCTCCATGCTGCCAATTCCAGTGGATACTTCTCAACCCTCAATTTACTTGACATGGATTGCAGTAGCCAATGACACCAACTATCATTCCTTACTTTATGAAACCTACTTGGCTTCCATGCACCACATTCCTCAGAGGTCTGTCCACCTCTCATTCTATACTCTCCCTAGTTAACCTCAGCCACTGTGTTTTCAAAGAACATTTACATGACTGTGATCTCAGAGTTAATCTCTAATAACTTTAACATCCTCCTTGCTCTTCTAAAACTTCTCACTGAAGAACTAAATACAAATTATAAATCATTAATATTCATACCCCCAACTCAAGTTCCAAGAATAAATTAAAATAGTACCCAGGAAGGGAGCATTTGACATGTTGCTCCCTGGCATATGGCGTCATTTGGCTCAAATAAACTCATATGAAAATTAAAAAACAAAACAAAACAAATAGTACCCAGGTAGAAAGGGAAGGGAACCATGCAAATCTACCCACTCTGTGCTTAATTAAATAGCACACTCATAAACAGAAAGAATCTAAAAATGAGTAATAATCTGAAATAATCCAGGACAGAATCTACGCATAGTGGAACAGGAATGAAAGCTAGACAATTTTACTCGAAATACTGAAGAAATTTTTAGATGTAAACTCCTTTAGACCCTCAAAGAAGTTAAAGAAAGAACACAAAAATCTCTTAAAATAAATATCATGAAGAAATACAATCATCAAATGAAAAATACAAATAAACTGGTACATTTAGGGAGAAAAAAAAACAGAAGAAAACTGTAACACCATTATAAAAATGAAAACAACTCCAGAAGGAACAAGAATTATAATTATTCCTGCAAAACCCAGTCAATAACAAGAGATTTAGGAAGTGAGAATCTAACAGAGATAAGATGAAGAAATGTTACCGTGTTTCCCCAAAAATAAGACCGGGTCTTATATTAATTTTTGCTCCAAAAAACGCATTTTATTCATTTACTCATGTACGAAAATCTACATTTATTCAAATACAGTCATGTCTGGCTGACGATCTTAACTGGGGCTTATTTTAGGGTAGGGCTTATATTACAAGCACCCTGAAAAGCATGCTAAGGCTTATTTTTGAGTTAGGTCTTATTTTCGGGGAAACACGGTATAAAGGATAAAGCTGTACAGCAAGCAAGCAATAGGTTTAGACTTTAACAAAAGCGATGAGGAGTGATGTCTCTAAAAAAGAAAATACATAATAGCTGCCTAATATGTTTGAATGTATTGAGAAGAGATTCTTTAGTTACATTAGGGAGGCTGAGGATGAATTCAGAATATATAGATAAAAAGTCATACAAATGACATAAAGGTGAGGTGTAGAGAGATTATAGGGAACCATCATTTCCTAATGTGTATGTTTATATAAAGTTTGAAAAGAGAAATACAACAAAATATGTGAAATATTTGTCTGAAGAATTCAGATGAATTTGGTAATGAATGACAGAGAAAATATTAGATTTAGTATAAATTTTTCTAGGACTCTTTCTTTGGAATAATAACTTATTTTTAGAAATAAGTAGTACCCTTTTGGATTTTTCTTTTAGTGCATTGCTTTGGCATTTCTTTAAGAATTATCACACATGTCCAGATCCAAAAAGAAGAGATTGGAAGGTATAATGATTCAGATAGGTATTCTATTCAGGTCCAAGAAGAAAGGATAGATGGTATAAAGAAGCCTAAATTATAACTAAGTTGTATGGAATGACAAAAATGTGCCCATCGTATTACAATGGTCACATTACATAGGAATAGAACTATATCCACTTTACAATACTAATACAGAATATTTCTTATAATATGAAATCTTTGTTAAACATTATTATCAATTGTACAAATTTCTATTTCATACAAGTAAAATAATTTTCACCAATAATACATACCTGTTTTTCAAGTTTAGTTTGAATGTCTTCTAGCTCTTCATTTCTAATTGTCTCTTGTTGTAACATTTGCTGCTGTTGCTGAAGAGTATGTTGTAGAATAACGCTTTGCTCAGTGGTCTCCTGAAGACTGTGACTTTTTATCTTTAGCTCTTTCTGTAAACAATATACCTAACAAACATATACATTTCTCATTACAATGACATGTTTCAAATAAAAAGCAACAAAATGTCAAAGCTGTTGGCCTTATTAGATAATCACTCCCACTTGTCATGTGGGACAATTGCATTTATGGCTGCAGTTTATTATGTGGAAGGGCAGGGTCCATTTTTCTGATGAGATGTACTAGAAGGGCCTGCTTACAGGGTTTGCTCCTGGCTCGTGTATGGGAATGTGGGTTTTGAAACATTCCCTATGAGATGAGATTGTTTTGCCTTGCTAGGGCACTGAATCTGCTTTCCTTCTGAGAGTCTGGAATTCTGAAACTTGTGGCTGTTCTTATGAGATCAGCCCCCCAGTAAAAAAATCCTTGAGTCATAAGCAGGCTACCCTGGGCAGGAATACTGCAGATGTGTTACCACATTTCACTGCTACAGAGAAAGGAGCATGTTCTATATAACCTCTCCCAGAAGGAGGGAGGGAGCATAGGGAGCCATGATGTCTCCACTTCCCATCTGGTGTATATTTTCCCCTTATTGATAATAAATTATAGCCATGAAAGCACGGCATAAGTATTAGATTTATTACATTTATTACATTATTGTTATCATTGTCATTGTTTGATAAAAACTTTCATGGAGGGAAATAGAAAGAAAAAGACAGGACAATATATAAAATATAAAGATTCTTTTTTTTTTTTTCACCTCTGAAGTTATATATATAATTAAATGATGCACCTAAGTCTGGCGTGCTGGTCAATTACATACTTGCTCTTAGATCTGCCCCTGCCTGCCCCTGCTCTGCGTACTATAGGATATATCTGGCAAATGGAAGGGGCCAATAGCAGCAGTTCTCCTCTACTGCCTGGTTTCTACTAGACAGACTCTTTCTCTGTGGCCCTAGCTCCACTAGGCAGTCCTGGACGATAGTCACAGCAACTCCTCCTGATGTTCCTCTATCCCTAAGCATAGCAGTGGGTCCCTGCTTATGATAATCTGAGTCACCCGAGCATGCTTTGTTTGGCTTTTCCACTCTTCCATCACCTGTGTATTTAATTCCCTGTAAAAAAAATTCCCTCCATTTTAAAGATATAAAAGGGTTTCTGTTTTTCCGGTTGAACCTTTCTGATACATTCAAGTTGCCTTGACAAAGATTTGTTGGAGACTATTTCTAAACATGAATTTAAGGTTTAAATATATTATAAATTCTAACAAAGAAATAAAGGAATTCTCCATTGAGATTATTCCTTTGAGCAAACATTTAATGAGCACCTATTATGTTGAAAGCAAAGTGGTAGACACTGAGGAAACAGATGAATAATATCTCAATAAAGTCTTCTAACTAGTATGTGAGAAACTCATCTCAATAAAGAAAGTTGAACTTCTAGTTCTCAATCTTCAGATAATTAGAAGGAACAAAATCAAAATGGAAAAAATTTAAAGAATTTTATACCTCTAAATCTAAAACAGTGTTGTTCTAAGTATTAATTGTCTATATTAGAACTACTGTCATATTAATAGTAATTTAATTTTGATTCCCCTAAATATATAAAAGAATCAGAAATTTAAGGTGTCATATTTTGTGATGCACTGAAATAATGTTTATTTTTAAAAGAATATAGAATTGGAATGTACGTTTTATTGGACAATTTTTTTATATCAGCCACATAAAGTATCTTGTGTGGTATATTTTATTTTTTTTAAAAAGCCACATTTTTAAAGTATCTTGAAAATAAACAATATCTCAAAAAGAAATCACTTGAAAAATGTGTTATATATAAAGGAAATGTTAATTTACCTCTTCAGATTTCTTCTTTAGTTGTTTTTCAAACTTTTCTTTATTTCCTTCCAATTGATTCAAATGCAAGGCAAGTTCTTCCTTACAAATTTCCAGCGCTGAATCTAACTGTCTGACCTAAGCAGGAAAAAAAAGAAAATCAACTATTATTAACGAGTGCATATTATAAGTTCAGTATTTTACAGATTTATGTCCTAATGTTACCTTACTGCTTCAAATAGTGTATATACAGTCCATCTGAGGATGTAAAATGCTATTACAGATTTATTCAGAAAACTAATTTTTCACTGCAAACTAGGAAACCAGAGACTGGAGTCCAGAAGAATAAATAGGACATGAGCCAGTGAAGAAGGTCATTACAGGAAGTATGAGCATTCTTAATATGCTGAAGTTACTATGAAAATGAAAATGTTTTTGTCAGTTAGGGAATAGTAACTTAGGAGAAGGCTGCTTTTGCTTTGAATCCGTGAAAATATTTTCAGAAAGGCAACAATTAACTTGGCTCAAGGATTCATACAGTTGCAAATGCTTCACAGTACCTTACATTAAAGAGGAAATTAGCAATGAGCCACCCAAATCAGTACTTTGTTTTTCAAAAAATTAGTTCAAGGACCACAATTTGCCTATATGCTCCATATCCCATCTGTTAGTAAGATTCTTGTTTTGCTTCTTTCTTTTCCTTATTGTAATTTTGAACTTCTCAGGTTTTTTTCCCTCTTAATGCTAAGTAGTTTTGAAAGTGTGAAAGAAATCTAAGCAGAAAAAGAAAAAAATGTTCCCTCTAGCAGATACTATTCTACATCATGAAATTATCTTTACATCTCTTATTTCTAAAAAGTATATCTTGAAAGATACAGAGAATTCGAAGACCGTCCCTATAGTCTGAGAATATTACCATTACAGCTTAAAAGTTTGTAATTTTGAATGATTATCTTTGTTAATAAACTGTTGCCTTAATTAACGTTTGTTTTATGAAAGGTATAAATACTTGCAAGTGTTCTTTCTTCAGCATGTGAATGAGCACTGGTACTTGTATCATCTTCCACAGACAGAGAAAAAATAAAATCTATGACTGTGAGAATATCACTACCTGATACTTAACAACAATGTAAAAACTCATTCAAGCAAGGTGGCTGAGGAGCAAGACATTCACATAGTCTCTAAGAATTATCCCACATTTATTTATTAATTATAAAGGAAAACATGTGTCCATAAAATGGTGAGATCTGGCAGTCACCTCCTTAAAAAGGTGTCAAGATTGGCAATGCCAATAATGGAGTGGTCTGACATGTGCCTCCCGATGTGAGGCAGTAGAAGGAATGCAGTAAAACCTATGTGGTGTCCTAGTTGACTCAGACTTTTCAATGTCATGAGGAATAGGAGACAGTGAGTTTAGGAGAATCTAAAGAACAGAACACAACATGTGAATTATAACTGAATCCTAGACCAGGAAAAGAAAAGGAACAAGCTGAAGCAGTGTTTCTCAAGGTTTTCATGGGCACACAAATCACCTGGACACCCCACCGAAATGAAGATTCTGATTCGGTAACAAGGCCTGGACTAGGGTATGCAAGGAAATGCCTAGGGCTCCAAATTTAAGGAGGCACTCACTCTCAGGGTCATGCAAGTTCTGACCCTTCACTTGTACAACCTTGAGAGTAAACATCTCCTTAAATTTTGTCTCACGTACTTCTCCTTAGTCCACCTTTGTTCAGTAGGTCTGGGGGACAGCAGGTCTTCTGCAAGAAATGACAGTTGACCTTTTAAGTAAGTAAGCCAATGCATGAGCTAATAATTCAGCAGAAATAAAAGGGCTCACAAATCTTTCTAACTTACTTCAGTGATATAACTCTCAAGTAATCCTTATAACTCTCATGCAGACAGAAAATTCATAGCATATTTGATGCAAAGAACACACTGAAGCATGCAGAGAAACATGGCCAAAAGTCAAGAAAGAAAGGTGGTATAACATAAACAAGAAGAGAAAACTAGGTTTCAAACTTCTATTTTGTTGCTTCAAATATCCTAAATGCTAAGAATCATTTAGTATAGCTTGACTCATAGGAACTTTGTTTCTACGTTTCCTCCTCATTTTGATTTTCCCCCCCAATAACAGCAAACCTATTTAAAGTACCAAGGGAATAAAATCCAAAATCATAATTCATTTTTTTTTGCTGATTTCCTTCCTGTCTCATACCTGGTTAATAACATATGGAAATAATTTACCAGGAGACAGGTTAGATGTGTTAGGTAGTTTAAGGAAAAAATATAAGCAGAAATATAAATTTTAGTTAAAATTATCTCATGCCTAAAACCTTTGTACAGCAATGAGTTCCTTAATATTGATGATCTTAGAGGTTGTTTATTTATTTATTTATTTATTCTTTAAAGATTTTATTGGGAAATTGGGGGAGGGGAACAGTGTTGGGGAATTGGAGAATGGGACCAGCCAAGTTGTTGTTCTTCAATCTTTGTTGTGGAGGACGCCAGTCGCCATCTGGCTTCCAGTCGGCAGCTTGTGGCCTCTAAGCTCAAGGTGCTGTGTTCAATCTTAGTTGCGGGTGGGCGAAACCACCATCCCATGCGGGAGTCAAACCCGGCAGCCTTGTTAAGAGCACACGCTCTATCCACTGAGCCATCAGGACGGCAGCTCAGCTCAAGGTGCCGTGTTCAGTCTTAGTTGCGGGTAGGCGTAGTCCACCATCGAACAGGCAATCTTGTTGTTACACCAGCTGAGCCATCCTGCCACCTGCTGGCAGCTCAGCGAGAACTCAGCTCAGGCGCAGCATCACTGTCCCATGTGGGAATCGAACCGGCGGCCCTGTTGCTCAGAGCCCAGCTCTTAAGCCAACTCTTAACCAACTGAGCCACTCAGCCAGCCCTTAGAGATTATTTTCACATGAAGAAATAAACTGACATAGCATGAAATATTAAAAGCTTTGTAGGATACTATAGGAAAGTTATGGATAAACATATTGTATTTACATGGGTACACAAGCTCACAAAATGGAATAAAAACAAAGTTACTAGACAAAAAGTACTAAACATCAATTTTTGTTAATCCTTTATATTCAAGCTATATATGACAGAATAAAGGTAGCAGTATATTGAACCTATTTTTAACACTAAAAATGCAAAGGAGGGGCTGGCCGAGTGGCTCAGTTGGTTAAGGGCTTGCTCAAGAGTGTGAGCTCTGAGCAACAGGGTTGACAGTTCAATTCCCAGCCCAAGCTGAGCTGCCTGAGCTGCCAACAGGTGGCAGGATGGCTCAGCTTAAAAAAAAAAAAAAAGGGCCGGCCGAGTGGCTCAGCTGGTTAAGAGCTCGCTTGGGAGCACCAGCTCTGAGCAGCAGGGCTGCGGTTCGGATCCCACATTGAGGGACAGTGACGCTTGCCCTCTACAGCTAAGATGATGAACCGCAGCTCGACCTGGAACTGGACTGCTGTGAGTCGCCGACGACATCGTAGGCTGCAGCGGGGCTACTGTGAGTGGCTGGCAGCCAGCGTGAGCGGCAGGCAGCCAGATCCAGTATGAGCTGCCGGGAGCCACGGCTGACCAATGACTGGCGACCGACTGCCTCACCTGGGAAGAGCACAATGATCATACCAACATGGGCCAGTGAAATTATGTCCTCCACAACTAGACTGAAGAACAAAACGACAGCAACTTGTCTGTTCCCCTTCCCCCAATTCCCCAGTACTGTTCCCATCCCCCCAATTCCCCAATAAAATCTTAAAAAGAAAAAAATGCAAAGGAGAAAATATTTAATATACAGTAATTATTAAACTTTGAGTAACAGTATATGCTAACCATTGTACATATCTCATTTATGTACTTCTCAAACTGACTCTCGCAGTGGGTCTCAACCTTCCTAATGCCGCGACCGTTTAATACAGTTCCTCATGTTGTGGTGACCCCCAACCATAAAATTATTTTCATTGCTACTCTATAACTGTAATTTTGATACTGTTATGAATCGTAATGTAAATATCTGATATGCAGG